CCTTTACAGGTAAAAGGATTTTCGTGTCTCTGGCCAGGGATTTTATAGTATTGTACACAGGAGGGCTGTTACCCTTCCCTTTATAGATATGACACAGGGGTAGGAGCATAATATAGAGGGGTAATATAAATATAGAACACACACCCAGCATAGGTTTTGTGCCCTGGTTTGTAACTGTTTGCCCTGAGGCTGTTACTCACATTTGTGAGCGTCTCCAGACAGCTGGACAGAAGGAATTGAACCTGGGTCTCCCACATCACAGGTAAGTGCTTTAACCATGGGGCTAAAAGTTATAAGGTGGGTGACATCACCACCACCCCCAATAAATTTTGTGTGCAGTGAGGCAGGTGCCTAACTCCTTCCAGCAAGAAACGTCTTAGGTGCCTGAGCCACCTGACGTCAGGCAGTGCGTTCCCATTTGTGGATTACTAAGCAGAGAAGACACCCCACTGCAGCCCAGATTTAGGTATCTGGCTGTAGAGAGGGGCAGGGATTAGGACACCCCTCTCCCCGTCACCCTCTCCCATTGGCTAGCTTAGATGGCTCCCCACATAGTGAGCTGGGTTTTGTGAATCACATTGTAAAGTGCCTATGTTGCCCATGCATTGTATAGGGAGTTTTGACACCTCACTCAGCTTTGCAGGTCACAGTGCTGTTCCTGTGATTTTCTAGTTACCTAAAAATTAGACCCTGTTACGCTCAGCATTGCATTGCCTAAGTCCCTTCACGGATTGCATCCTGCGTAACCAGTCACCTCTCCACAGACCACAGCTGAGCAATTCCTGGGATTTGTGATGGGGCAAGGCCAGATGGCTACAGTAAAGTAGTGAGGAACAGGTATGTTAGCCCCAGGCTAAACAAATCCCTGGTATCATGGTAACCAAATGGCAGTTGCTCCAGACGGCAGCGGTACGGGCCCAGAGGTTCATGGAGTGGAAGTACCAGGAGAACAAACCCCCGAGGTCCCAGCTATTCGACCTCATACACCTCGCACGGAAATGGTTACAGCCCGAGGTGTGCAGCCCGGAGGAGATTTTGGAAACCCTGGTCATGGACCATTACATGCGAGGACTGCCACCAGATCTCTGCAAATGGGTAGGCCAGAACGATCCATCCACCTATGATGAGATGATCACGCTGGTAGAAAGACGCATGGCAGCCAGGGAATTGACCCGACTACCCAAGGAAGGCCCCTTTCGAAGCAAGCACCCGACCCCAACCCTTGAAGGTGGGACAGCCAAACCCCTGGGGAGTCCTAGGTGGAGGAAGGGGGGGCTGAAAACCAGCAGGGACCTCAGAAGGAAGGGATTGGCCTGAGTGGGGGGAACCCTGGGACTAAACCCCCTAACCTCCGTGATAGGGGAGTGATTAGAAACAATTATAGATGTTATGCATGTGGGGAGTGGGGACACATAGCAGCACAGTGTCCCAGCACTGAGGAGCCTATGCAATGCAACTTTGGGGATTGGGAGATCCTGTGCTCCCTTATCCACCTTGCAGGCGTCACATTAGCCCCACATAACTACACCAGGCCGGTGAAGATAAATGGAGCAGAGACTACAGCGCTTGTGGACTCGGGGAGTGCCATCACCCTTATATCGGGTAAGCTGGTAAAAAGTAGCCAGCTGCTACAAGCCAAACATGTAGCAGTGACATGTGTGAATGGGGCCGTGAGCCATTACCCCACCATACCAGTGGAGATAGAGGTTCAGGGGAACCCCATTGAGGTAACAGTGGGCATGGTTCCTAAACTCCCATATCCTGTAGTCATTGGGAGGGACTATCCAGGGCTTGATAAATTACTCCCCCCGGAGAGACTGGAGGGAAGTGGGGACCCTGATGGCAGCGACTCATCATTGGGGGAATGTCAACCCCCAATGTTCGCTGAGATTTCTCAGGATCTATTCTCAGCCCCCCAAAAGGCCCGGAAGACAAAAAAAGAGAGGAAGGCTGCGAAGGCCTTGGGAACCCAGATCCTGACCTGGGGCCAGAAGACCGCCCTAGTAGGCAGAGGGACACGAGCAGCCATCAGAGAAACTACCACCATGGAAGGTGAGCCAGAGGATGGCCGCAGCCATGACAGCGGTGAGCCGTTGGAAGAAGCAGAAGCTGGCCCCTGGGAGCTCAGACAGGTTAGTCCTGGGAGAGAGACTTTCAGGCGGGACCAGGCAGAGGACCCTAGATATGATAACATCAGGAAAGAGGTGGCTGAGATAGATGGGATACCAGTGGAGGGGAAGGTCCGGGGTCCAGGCCCTTACTTTATAGTGAAGAAAGATCTCCTGTACCGCGTGGTGCAAATGCAGGAGCAGGAGATGCATCAACTTCTGGTGCCACAAAACATCAAAAAGCCATATTGAGCCTCGCCCACAGTCACCTGTTTGGAGGACACCTAGGGGTAGAGAAAACCCAGGCACGGATCCTGCAGAGGTTCTTCTGGCCAGGAGTACATGAAGATGTCTGGCGATACTGCACCTCTTGTCCAGAGTGTCAGCTACATAGCCATCGCCCGCACTTGCGGGCCCCTTTGATACCTCTTCCAATAATAGAGGTACCATTTGAATCCATAGCCATGGATCTGATTGGGCCCCTAGAGAAGACAGCTAGGGGCCACCAACATGTGCTTGTTGTACTAGACTATGCAACCCGATACCCGGAAGCCGTCCCCCTACGCAACACAGCTTCCAAGACAATAGCTAAGGAGCTAGTACAGATCTTTTCCCGGGTTGGGCTACCCAAGGAGATACTGACTGATCAAGGGACACCTTTCGTGTCCAAGTTGATGAAAGATCTCTGTTCATTGCTCCATGTACAAGCCCTACAGACCTCTGTATACCACTCTCAAACAGACGGCCTTGTGGAAAGGTTCAATAGGACCCTCAAGGCCATGATCAGGAAAGTGGTGAGCCGGGATGGGAAAGATTGGGATACCCTATTGCCTTACCTCATGTTCGCCATCCGGGAAGTCCCACAAGCCTCCACAGGTTTCTCTCCGTTCGAACTACTATACGGGTGCCACCCCCGGGGCATATTGGATATAGCCAGAGAAGCCTGGGAAGAGGAGCCAAATCCCGGAAGGAACATAGTCGAGCATGTACTGCAGATGAGGGATCGGATAGCCCGAGTTACACCCATTGTACGTGAACACTTGGAGAAAGCACAGGAAAGCCAACGAACCCATTATAACCACCAAGCAAAGCTTCGACGGTTCCAACCAGGGGATCGAGTGATGGTCCTGGTGCCCACAGCAGAAAGTAAGCTGTTGGCCCAGTGGCAGGGACCCTATGAAGTGATCGAAGCCGTGGGAGAGGTAAACTATAAGGTGCGGCAGCCAGGCCGAAGGAAACCGGAGCAAATTTACCACATCAATCTTCTAAAACCTTGGCATGATCGAGAGGCATGCTTAGTCACCCAGGAGACTCTTCCCCAGGAGGATAACTTACATGAGCAAGTGAGGATATCACCCAACTTGACGCCGATCCAAAAGATCGAGGCAGCCGACATGATTAATCACAACCGAGATGTGTTCTCTACAAAACCGGGGTGGACGACTGAGACCTATCACCATATCCGCACGATCCCCGGAGCCAAGGTAACATTGAGACCTTACTGAATCCCAGCAGCTAAAAGAGAAGAAATCAAGGCCGAAGTAAAGAAAATGTTAGAATTAGGGGTTATTGAAGAATCTTACAGTCAGTGGTGCAGTCCAATTGTTCTAGTGCCTAAACCTGACGGTACCATGAGATTCTGAAATGACTTTTGCCGACTGAATGAAGTATCCCAATTCGATGCATATCCCATACCATGCATCGACGAACTGGTTGACCGACTGGGTAGTGCCTGATTCTTGACTACACTGGATCTGACAAAAGGGTATTGGCAGATTCCCCTGACCAAAGAAGCTAAAGAAAAGACAGCGTTCTCCACCCCGACGGGCTATTCCAGTACACCGTCCTCCCTTTTGGGCTACACCCCGGCCACATTCCAGCGCCTCATGGATAAGCTGCTGCGCCCCCATACTAGTTATGCAGCTGCATACTTAGATGATGTCATCATCCATACGCCAGACTGGGGAACCCACTTGGAGAAAGTTGAGGCAGTACAGCGCACCTTAAAGCGGGCTGGCCTCACTGCTAATCCCGCTAAATGCGCCATAGGGCTAGCAGAGGCTAGGTACCTGGGATATATTGTAGGGAGGGGCATAGTGAAGCCCCAAACGAATAAGCTAGAGGCGATTGAAAACTGGCCCCGGCCGACCCGAAAGAAGCAGGTCCGCGCGTTCCTAGGCGTGGTAGGCTACTACCGCCGTTTTATTCCCCATTTCACCACTAGGGCAAGTCCCCTAATAGACCTGGTGAAGGCCCGAGGTCCAGACATGGTGAAGTGGACCGATGCAGCAGAGGGGGCATTCATAGACCTTCGGACGGCCCTCTGTAATGACCCTGTACTCATAGCCCCGGACTTTAACAAGGAATTTATCTTACAAACAGATGCTTCCGAGATGGGGTTGGGGACAGTTCTGTCGCAAATGGTGGGGGAAGAGGAACACCCGATCCTCTACCTAAGCAGAAAGCTTCTCCCAAGAGAACAGAAATACGCAGTAGTTGAGAGAGAATGCCTTGCTGTCAAATGGGCCATGGAGACACTGCGCTATTACCTCTTAGGCTGGCGATTTACTCTTGTGATGGACCATGCACCCCTCCAGTGGATGCAGCGGAATAAGGAAAAGAACGCAAGGGTCACCAGGTGGTTCTTATCCCTCCAACCGTAGAGGACAGTGATAAACAGGCTGCACAATCCTTGGGGTAATGAGATTGATTGAGATAGAGAAGCCACTCGCTGCTCTCTATGGTTTGACAGTCCAGAGACACCACGGAGCCTACAGGGTCATGAAGATGACACGGTAAAAGCAGGAGTCCTTCAGAGTCATAGAGACTAGGGAGTATGAGGCTAGAGAGGCCAATTTCAGGGTCCTCAGTGGGATATCCTCACCCCATGTCTCAGGGACACATTCTGAGCTGGGATCCCCGCCCCACCCGGAGCCAGGGGCGGATTCTCTCCTCAGTGACAGAGGCCGGCAGGAAAGTGAAGATCGGGGCCTCGTTACCAACATCGAAAAATGTCACCTGCCCCTGATCACAGTCCAGACAAACCCGGATCCTGCTGAGGACCCGATTCAGGGGCAGGCGGATATCAGGGGAGGTGAGAGTCTGGAACTGACTCTGCCACCTCCACACAGCCCAGATCCCCCCCTCAGGGCTTTGGTTGATCCATCCCTTCCTCCTCACAGACTCTCTGGCCACCCCCACAGCCCAGTATTGCCCATCCCCCACCTCCACCTCCCAGCAATGTCTCCCCGAGGTGAATCCCTCACACCCCAGCACACGATGCTCAGTGTCAAATCTCTCAGGATTGTTGGGCAGATCCTGCCGTGTGTGTCCCCATCTCACACTTTTCCGATCCTCAGACAGGACAAGTTCAGGATGACCTGTGTCTGGATCCAGAGTCACATTCACTAGGAGAGAGAAAGGATCAGAGCGTTAGAGGCAGAGGTCAGCCCTGGGGGAGGCTGGGTCCATTTCTCACCCTCCCCAGCAGCCCTGTTCTGGCTGGGACAGTCTTGGATCCCAGGAAGCTGCCTCTGCCCCAGGGCACCTGACACTGAGCAGAGGTGTCACTGCAGTTCCTCACTCTGTTTAATGGAAGCACTTCATTGGTTTCTCATTGGTTTGCAGAGACTCAGCTCTTTGATTCCTCTGCTGGGGCTGCTCCATTCCCAGCAGCAGAGACACAGCAAGGAAGGCATCAGAAGTTTTTTGGGTGAGGGAACAGAAGAGGGAGGTAAGAGCTTTAAATGCCAGAGGGAAGTTCCCTCCCCTAAATGCAGCCTCCACTCCCAGGCCAGGGAACAGAGAGGAAGGTGCAGCCAATGGAGAAGAGCCAATCAAGCCCAGAGAGTAGGAGGTAGCACTGAGTGGAGTAGCTCCATCCTTAGCCTAGAGAGAAGGGACCAGCATCAGAGGGAGAGCATCTTCCCAATCCATGAAAGAGTGAGAAGCTGCAATGGGGGAGCCCAGCCCTGCCCACAGGAGAGGGAGGATGTCGGCGAAGAGTGATGGGGGAGACCTCCTCTGCCAGGGTAAAGGAGAGGGACATGTCAGCCTGCAGGGGAGAGAGCTCTCTACTCATTCCTCTCAATTTAATATTAAAAGTCCTGTGAATGTCTATGAAAATGCCAGGGTCAGAGTTAAGGGTGTTTGGATGCTGCTCAGTGAGAGTGTTTCTGTTCATCAGCGTGGGCATGGACTCAGCACAAAGGCTGGTGTCGGGATTGTTTGTGAGAGTTCAGCTTGGGATCTCCTCAGTATTTCATGTTTTCATTTTTAGGGCTGTGTGGGTCATGGTCGGTGTTGGTTTGGTTGGTAACTTTAGGTATAATTTCATAAAAGTGTTTTCATGGTAATTTTCTCATAATATAAAGATAATCTCCACCTGCAACCTCACCTAGGGATCCCCCTCTTTTTGTCTCCAGTTCAGACGACAGAGTGTCTGGTGGGGGAAAGGAGAAAAGAGATGAGATTTTCTGCTTTCATATTTATAACAGCATCCCCACTCTTAACTGACCTAACTTGGTTTTAATTGACAGAGAAACTGACATAGAGGGACAGAGACACACTCAAGTCTTTAAACATAAACTAATCTGAAACCTTTTCCTCTTTCATTCAGGCATCTCACAGCAATGGAATCAGCAGCCATTAGGTCTCACAACCACCCTAGGAGATACAATCTGTAAGAGAGATTTACTTTCTCCTCATCATCCCCACCCTTGCTCCAGCCCCCAGCTGGTTTCTATCATTCACTATTGCATTTGTCAGACCCTAGACCCAGATCCTGCAAAGACTTTAGCATGAATGTAACTTTACACACTTTGGCCCCTTTGACATTAAAGGGATGTTAAGAGTTTGCAGGGTCAGGGCTCTTAATTATAAGCCTGTTGGGTCTATTTACTTAGCAGCTATACAGAGCTCAGCACAATGGGGCCTTCGTCCTCCTTAAACTGAAATACAAATAACAATAAAATCATTTTATAAGTGGAAATTCGAGCTGGGAGAGGGTTGGCAAAATGGCCCAGATTTCCCCTGAACTGGCAAAGGAATAGAAGGGGGCAGTTTGTGACTCCCCTAGTCAGTGGCTGCAGAGGCCCGTGCAGACCTTGGCACAGGCTAGGGAAGTCCTGAGGTCCAGCCAGAGTAGCATCCCTGTTTCTGTGACCCCCATGGGATTTGCAAGTTTTGTAGCTGGGAGAGAAAATCAGGGACCCAAAATTAGGCCATTTTGCTAAATTTGGGCCTCAACGTAGTGATTTTTGGTAAGTCATGAATTAATGAGACACGTCTTGACACCTGCGCCCCTGCTACACCTGCCCAATTTCTCTATTTTCCACCTTTCATTCAATAGATATGTCATCTAATTATTGATCAATTGGCCAGAGCCCCATTCCCTCCCACAGTCTCAGAGGCTCATCCCAGTTTCCCCTCCTAGATCCCGTCTCAGTACCTTTGAATTTCCTCAGAGTCTCCATTAGAGCAATAGTTCTCTTGGAGACATTGCCGAGTCTCTTTTCCACTTCAGGAAAAATCTCCACTGGCTGCTGGAACTTCCCCTTCTCACACCTGGAGACAAATAATTTCACTTTCTTCTATTTCATTTACTGACTCATTATTAGTTCTTGCTAGTGAGTCACTGCTCTAATGGGCCTGGAATTAGAATTGCTCTACTTCTCCCAGCCTCAGAGCAGGTGCAGCACAGGCCATGGCAGTGAAACTTTCCCGCTGAAGGTCCCATTAATATTCTTCACCTCTGGCCTGGAGAGACCAGCTCTGGGGATAAAAGACGAATTGAGTCTCCATGGGCAAGTCACTCTATGGCCTCCATGCTCTGAGGGACAGAAGGTTCCCATGTTAAGTGTTGTAGAAATCTGTCCACTGGGAACTAGACTGATACACCAACTCTCCCCTCCCCAGCTTATTCCACACAGCTCTCCAAACAGTCCTCAGATGGGAAAGACTCTGGGTCACTGCTGTCCTGGGCTGAAGGGTAACCAGTGCCCCAGCAGTGAAAGGCCCATATTCCATCCCCACAATCCCGAGGCAGCCAGTCCCCCAGGGATGTGGCATCTCTAGGAAACACTTTTGGTCAGTCTTTCTCACTGAATGGATAATTATAGGGACTTCTATAAAATGGTGAGAACTTCAGGATTAAGTTAATTACAGAGATTTGTATTCAAAATGTGACTGTCACATTTTGCTGTAGAGACCTGGGGAGATGCGGCTCTAACATATCTCCACACTCTTTCCCATCATTGTGAAGTATGTGTGGGAGGGAGAAAAAGTCACCTACCTGCTCAAGATGCTTCTGATGTCCTAGAGGAGAGAGAGAGAAAAAACACAACCCCTCAGTCTCACCTGATACACACATTTCAGATTCCAGAGAAGGGATTTTGTAAATACAGGAAAAATCGGCCCTGCCTTGGCCCCAGGGCCATGGTTTCACTGAGCGAATGGGGCTTTTCCATCTCTAATATCAATGTGTCGGTGTCTCTGCAAAGACCAATAGTCATTCATATTTCAGCAATGCACACACTGAGCTACACTGTGATCTCTGACAGCTGGACTCCACTGCCCAGGGTTCAGGAGCTGTCCTGTCCCTGTGTTGGCATCTGGGATGTTTCTAACACAGTCTCACCTGCAGGAATTCACTCACTGGCTCCTGATACTTCCCTTCTATGTCACCGATGAGCTCACTGAGATGGGAAATTTGCTCGGATAGTTTACTGACATTTTCATTTTGTATCTTCACAATCTCCTTGTCCAGCTTTCCCAGCTGGGCCAGCAGGAGTTGCTCTTGTTCCTCCAGGAACTGCCACAGTTCCTGAAATTCAGACACAATCTTCTGCCTCTCAGTTTGTGTTTGTTTCTGTATAAAAATGGGAAAAATCTGGTTAGGGACATGAAAGGAGCCTGGGGTCCTTTCACGGGGTGCCGAGTGTGCAGGAGGGAGAACTTCTTTGACAATCCAAAGATTTCTGACATTTGATTCTACCCTGTGGTTACTAGGGAGAGGATTCTCTCACACCTTCCTCTTTGGCCCCTATCTCTCTGAAAGGGATGTTTCCATGTCTGTCATAGTCAGCATATTATGTTATTCAGGGTCTCTGGGAATCAGCACTACATTGACAGAGATGTCAGGGGAGAAAAAAGAAACAAACATTTTAACACTGCAAGAAATGACCAGACACAGTGGACAGCACAGCATGGATGACATTCAGTTCACTTTGGGAGGATTTCTGTGAAAGCCACAGGGGCTAGAAATTAACTTATTAACTGCAATGGAAACTTAGGGCATGGCTACACTTGCAGATGTAGAGCTCTGTGAGTTAAACCAGCCCTAGGAGAGTGCAGAAGGGAAAGCGCTGCAATGTGTTCACACTGTCAGCTGCAAGCGCACTGGTGTGGCCACATTTGCGGCACCTGCAGCGGCATTGGGAGTTGTATATTATGGGCAGCTATCCCACAGAGCACCTCTTCCCATTCTGGCGCTGTGGCTTGTGGGAAGGAGGCAGGGGTGCGGGGCATTCTGGGTCCTGTCCCAATGCCCCGTGGTGCAGTGCTTCGCATCCCAGCAATCCCTGTGCTTCCGTCCACATTTGGCGCCATCTTTAAACGTTTTTTGTACTGCACACTCTGTCTTCCTTTTCGATCTGTGGGAATGGATCCTGAACTGCTAAGGAATATGCTGATGGGTCTCGCCAGCATGTCATGAATTGCATTCGAGTTACTCCGTAAGCTACAAAGTGACAGTGAGGAGTCACGATGATGTCGACTTACATAACGCTTACGACACGAGTTTGCTTGTGGCATACACGGACATGCTCACCACATGGAACGCCGTTTTGGGGCTCGGGAAACAAGCACTGAGTGGTGGGATCACATCGTCATGCGAGTCTGGGATGACGAGCAGTGGCTGCAGAACTTTCGGATGAGAAAAGCCACTCTCATGGGACTATGTGCTGAGCTTGCCCCCACCCTGCGGCACAAGGACACGAGATTGAGAGTTGTCCTGCCGGTGGAGAAGCGAGTGGCTATTGCAGTCTGGAAACTGGCAACTCCAGACAGCTACCAATCGGTCGGTAACCAGTTTGGAGTGGGAAAGTCTACCGTTGGAATCGTGTTGATGCAAGTTTGCAGGGCCATTAATCGCATCCTGCTCAGAAAAACCGTGACTCTGGGTAATGTGGGTGACATTGTGGCTGGCTCTGCACAAATGGGTTTCCCTAACTATGGAGGGGCGATAGATGGGACGCATATTCCAATTCTGGCACCAGCCCACCTAGCCTCTGAGTACATAAATTGGAAGGAGTATTTCTCTATGGTTCTCCAGGCACTTCTGGATAACCATGGGCATTTCATTGACATTATCGCAGGCTGGTCCGGAAAGGTGCATGAAGCACGCATCTTTCAGAACACAAGCCTGTTCAGGAAGCTGCAAGCTGGGACTTTCTTCCCAGAACACAAGAATGGCCATACTGTGTCAGACCAAAGGTCCATCCAGCCCAGTATCCTGTCTACCAACAGTGGCCAATGCCAGGTGCCCCAGAGGGAGTGAACCTAACAGGTAAGGATGAAGTGGTCTCTCTCCTGCCATCCATCTCCTCCCTCTGACAAACAGAGGCTATGGATACCATTCCTTACCCATCCTGGCTAATAGCCATTAATGGACTTAACCTCCATGAATTTATCTAGTTCTCTTTTAAACCCTGTTATAGATCTAGCCTTCACAAACTCCTCAGGCAAGGCGTTCCACAGGTTGACTGTGTGATGTGTGAAGAAGAACTTCCTTTTATTTGTTTTAAACCTGCTGCCCATTAATTTCATTTGGTGGCCCCTAGTTTTTATATTTTGGGAACAAGTAAATAACTTTTCCTTATTCACTTTCTCCATACCACTCATGATTTTATATACTTCTATCATACCCCTCCTTAGTCTTCTCTTTTCCAAGCTGAAAAGTTCTAGCCTCTTTAATCTCTCCTCATATGGGACCCGTTCCAAACCCCTAATCATTTTGGTTGACCTTCTCTGAATCTTTTCTAATGCCAGTATATCTTTTTTGAGATGAGGAGACCACATCCGTATGCAGTATTCAAGATGTGGGGGTACCATGGATTTATATTAGGGCAATAAGATATTCTCTGTCTTATTCTCTATCCCTTTTTTAATGATTCCTAACATCCTGTTTGCTTTTTTGACTGCCGCTGCATACTGCGTGGATGTCTTCAGAGAACTATCCACGATGACTCCAAAATCTCTTTCCTGATTAGTTGTAGCTAAATTAGCCCCCATCATATTGTATGTATAGCTGGGGTTATTTTTTCCAATGTGCATTACTTTACATTTATCCACATTAAATTTCATTTGCCATTTTGTTGCCCAATCACTTAGTTTTGTGAGATCTTTTTGAAGTTCTTCACAGTCTGCTTTGGTCTTAACTATCTTGAGCAGTTTAGTATCATCTGCAAACTTTGCCACCTCACTGTTTACCCCTTTCTCCAGATCATTTATGAATAAGTTGAATAGGATTGGTCCTATGACTGACCCTTGGGGAACACCACTAGTTACCCCTCTCCATTCTGAAAATTTACCATTTCTTTACCAGACCAGAAGATCACTGTAGGGGAAGTCGAAATGTCCATTGTGATCCTTGGAGACTCCGCTTACCCTTTAATGCTGTGGCTCATGAAACCCTACACAGGGAGCCTTGACAGCAGCAAGGAGCGGTTCAACAACAGGCTGAGTCGGTGCAGAATGACTGTGGAGTGTGCTTTTGGCCGTTTAAAGGGCTGCTGGCACTGTCTGTATGGGAAGCTGGACCTGGCCAATGACAACATCCCCACGGTTATATCCGCGTGCTGTACCCTCCATAACATTTGTGAAGGGAAAGGTGAAAGCTTCACTCAAGCATGGACCTTGGAGATTCAGCACCTGGAGGCTGAATTTGAACAGCCAGAGAGCAGGGCTATTAGAGGGGCCCAGCATGGGGCTGCAAGGATTAGAGATGCCTTGAGGGAGCAATTTGATGCTGAAAGCCACCAGTAATGTTTGGTGCCCTGCACGGGAGTGAAGTGCAGTGGTTCCAATGTTAGTAGGAATCTGTGTTTGCTACATATGATGCACTGACTTGCAGTGCCTGTTGCTTTCCTGGGCTACGGTATCTTTTACTTAATGCAATAATAAAGAACGTTTTCAAAGCCAAAAAAATCATTTATGTAAAGAAAATTCATTTATTGAAAAGAAACACAACGGCTTGGGAAACAGAAAGAGCATGACACATCTGTGCTGTGTGGGACGAGGGAAGGGGGTGGGGTGGGGAATGGGACAATCAGAGATTTGTGCATGTCCTGTTATCATACTCAGCCTTCCTGTCTGGAGTGCTGTGCAATGAGTGCTGCACTTCAGGCTGGCTAAAATGCATGGTGATGGGGGCTGAGTGCAGTGGGTAAGGGTCATAGTTTCCAGGGCTGGATGGTGAAGCTACAGGTGTTGGAGGCAGCTGGTGGCGATAAGAACCCAGATGTTGGGGAAAGTGGGTTGGCGGTGACATGGGGGCACGAGGCAAAGAGTTTTGGGACAAGGGCTGCAGGGGGGGCGGACTCGGATATGCTCCGCCTGCATTGCTACGAGCGCCTGTATCGAGTCCGCTTGGCGCTCCATGATGCTTAGCAGCTGCTCCGTACTTTGGTGCCGGGGATCCACATTCTGCTGGCGGACCCACCTTTCACTCTCCTGCCACTCCTGCACTTTTTGATTTTCATTAAGGGACTGCTGCATGACTTCATGCAGCGATGTCCTCTTTGCTTCTTCACGGATTGTCAAGGCTGTATCCCCACTTTGAACCTTAGGGTACAAATGTAGGGGCCTGCATGAAAACTTCTAAGCTTATCTACCAGCTTAGCTTTGGTCCGCTGCCACCATCACAAGAATTCCCTCCCTGGGAAGCCTTGAGAAACCTTTCACCAATTCCCTGGTGAACACAGATCCAAACCCCCTTGGATCTTACAACAAGGAGAAATTAACCATCCCCCCTCCTTCCTCCCACCCTCCTTTCACCAACTCCTGGTGAATACAGATCCAAACCCCCTTGGATCTTAAAACAAGGAGAAATCAATCTGGTTCTTAAAAAAGAAGGCTTTTAATTAAAGAAAAAGGTAAAAATCATCTCTGTAAAATCAGTATGGAAAATAGCTTTACAGGGTAATCAAACTTAAAGAGCTCAGAGGACCCCCCTCTGTCTTAGGTTCAAAGTACAGCAAAACAAAGATAAACACTCTGGTAAAAGGTACATTTACAAGTTGAGAAAACAAAGTAAATCTAAGATGCCTTGCCTGTCTTTTTACTTACAAGTTTGAAATAGGAGAGACTTGTTTAGAAAGATGGGTAGAACCTGGATTGATGTCTGGTCCCTCTCAGTCCCAAGAGCGAACAACCCCTTAAAACAAAGAGCACACACAAAAGCCTTTCCCCCCTCAAGATTTGAAAGTATCTTGCCCCCTTATTGGTCCTTCGGGTCAGGTGTCAGCCAGGTTACCCGAGCCTCTTAACCCTTTACAGGTAAAAGGATTTGGAGTCTCTGTACACAGAGAGCTGTTACCCTTCCCTTTATAGTTATGACATGGATGCTTCCTGATTCTTTGGAGTCTTTCGGCTGTTGATAACAAGGACGGCTGGGATCTCAAGATTGCATCTGTAAAGCCAAAATGCAACACTTAACAGAGGCAGCATTGTTCACACCAGACAGAGCAATGAGTCGGCCATACTTAAAGACAAGTATAGTGAACATAATATCAGATATTGCCCATTCCAAAGCGAGTGCACATAACCCACAGGAGCCCCAAAATGGTGAGTAAGCACAGCAGGGAAGAGGTCCTGGGGGAGGTATAGCTCAGTGGCTTGAGCATTGGCCTGCTAAACCTAGGGTTGTGAGTTCAATCCTTAAGGGGGCCACTTAGGGATCTGGGACAAAAATGTCTGGGGATTGGTCCTGCTTTAAGCAAGGGGTTGGACTAGATGACCTCCTGAGGTCCCTTCCAACCCTGATATTCTATGATTATTTCACAGCCATACTGCCCTCTGGGGTTCTGTGCCTTGGGGAGAGCCAACAGCTGCAGGGGGCCCCTATACTGAACACTGTCCCCACATTTTCCACAGGATGAGTTTGTCCTGGAAGGCTCACTGCTGAGGGTGACCTGGGAAGCAAGGGAGGGTCTTCTACTACAATGTGTCTTCCGCCCTGGCCCATATACAGCATGCCTGTGTGCAGCAATGGTCCCCCTGCCTGTCACTGCACTGTGGTGCAGACATGTTAGCCTTACTGGGACAAGGAGCACAGTAGCTCTGCCAAGGAACCTGCTCAAGCGGATTGCTCACTTCTGGCATGAGACCTTTGAAGAGATCACTGATGCCGATTACCGTGATGTGAGAGAGCACATCAATGCCCTATTCTGCATCTAGGCATGCATTCAGCCCTAACCCTCCTCACCCAAAGAGCCTACACCAAACAACTTCCTTCCCAAAATAAAAGCCACTTACCGGGCACCTCCTCTGCTGTTTATTCTTCCCCAAGCACTGTCCGCTGCAACTGGTTACCTTCCTCCTGGCTTGAAAACAGCTCCTGGCTGCATGCATCTAGGGATGCCGGGCTAGCACCCTCGCTCCCGCTTTCCTCCTCCTGCCTTGTTGAACTGGGCTCTGAAGTGTCCATGGTGGTCTTCGGAGTGGAGGTGGGGTTGCCCCCAAGTGTTGTGTCCCGCTCTTTGTAGAAACAGCAGGTCATGGGGGCAGCACCGGAGCGGTGGTTTGCCTCTCGCGCTTTGTGGTAGGCATTCTGCAGCTCCTTCACTTTAACCCTGCACTGCAATGTGTCCCGGTCATGGCCCCTTTCCATCATGTCCCTTGACATCTGCCCGAAGGTATCGTAATTCCTATGGCTGGAGCGCAGCTGGGATTGGACAGCTTCCTCCCCCCCAAACACTGATGAGGTCCAGCACCTCATCATTGCTCCATACTGGGGATCGCCTGGCGCGTGGAGGCATGGTCACCTGGAAAGATGCGTGGAGAGCACTCCACGCCTGGCTGAGCAAACAGGAAGGGGAATTTCAAAATTCCCAGAGAATTTAAAGGGCGGGTCTGGCGGTTGGTCACTGGAGGGCAGGGCAATAGAGTTCAAAGTGATGACCAGAGTGGCTAGAACAGGCATTGTGGGACACTTCTGGAGGCCGATCAGAGTGCATTAATAGGCCAGGGTGTTCACACTGGCGCCGTGGCGCTCCAGCCGGGGTGCAGCAAGCGTTATGCTTCTTGTGGAGGTGGATTACCAGGAGCGCTCCAGCCGCGGAGTCCGGGCGCTCTACATGCCTTGCCAGAGTGGACACGTCAGGAGTTAGGGCGCCCGGGGCTGCTTTAATGCGCTCTAACTTGCAAGTATGGCCAAGCCCTTAGGGCTTGTCTATACTTGAATCTAACCCAGCAATCCATGATCATGGAGAAACTCACACAAGCCCACATTCACCAAAGCCACAGAGGAATCTTCCTACAAACAGCTCCCACTGCCAGTCTCTGCCTTTTTATAACAATGGGCACCTACCAGGTACTCACGGCTTTTCCCCTCTCCAGTCACTTTAAATCCCAACAGCTTTTCTCTCTCTTCCCTCAGAGTCTTCAAATGGGCCTGGATTTTTTCCTGAAGAAACAGAAATGATTTGGAAGGTTTTATTTTGAGGCTTGAGAGGGGTGTGGAGCTGGGTGTTTTTCCAGCCAAAACCCAAGGTGACTGTTTATCCTAATGGCTTTATGACATCAGGGCCACCAAGGAGATGAAATCTGATTAATGGAGACTGGAAGTGTGTCATATTCAGATTGGACCTCTTGGTAATAGTGACCATAATATAATTAAATTTAACATCTCTGTGGTGGGGGAAACACCAGAGCAACCCAACACTGTAGCATTTAATTTAAAAAAAGGGGAACAACACAAAAATGAGGAGGTTAGTTAAACAGAAATTAAAAGGTACATGAAATCCCTGCAAGCTGCATGGAAACTTTTAAAAGACAACATCATAGAGGCTCAACTTAAATGTACACCCCAAATTAAAAAACATAGTAAGAGAACCAAGAGAGTGCCACCGTGGCTAAATAACAAAGTAAGAGAAGCAGTGAGAGGCAAAAAGGCATCCTTTAAAAAGTGGAAATTAAATCCTAGTGAGGACATAGAAAGGAGCATAAACTCTGGCAAATGAAGTGTAAAAATATAATTAGGAAGGCCAAAAAAGAATTCAAAGAACACCTAGCCAAAGACTCAAAAAGTAATAGCAATTTTTTTTTTAAGAAGCAGGAAGCCTGCTAAACAACCAGTGGGGCCACTGGACGATCAAGATGCTAAAGGAGCACTCAAGAATGATAAGGCCATTGCAGAGAAACGAAGGGCTTGGCTACACTGGCACTTTATACCGCAATAAAGCCTCCCAGAGCGCTCTACCTTACTCCCCGTCCACACTGGCAAGGCACGTAGAGCGCTCTGACTCCCTGGCTAGAGCGCTCCTGGTACTCCACCTCCACGAGAGGGATAACGGCTGTTGCGTATTGGCTGAGACGCCCCAGGGGCAGTGTAAATGGGGAGTTAAGTTACAGCGGTCTGACTAACCTCCGGAAACTTCCCATAATCCCCTTAAGTCAAGTGGTCTATCTTCTCTTTGTTGTGAAATCGGCTGAGGAATGCGGAAGTGCCTTTTCAGAGCTCTGTTTCAGACAGCGGCTGCTTATCTGCAACCGGGCAAAGCAAACTTTTACTGAGGCCTTGGCTACACTTGCGAGTTACAGCGCTGTAAAGCCTCCCCCAGCGCTGTTACTCACTCCCCGTCCACACTGGCAGGGCACTTACAGTGCTGTATCTCCCTGGGTACACCGCTACAGGTACTCCACCTCCCCGAGAGGAATAACAGCTGCAGTGGAGTGGCTACGACTCACGGGTGTGAGTGTAAACGCTTGCAGCACTGTACTAATCACCTTGTCAAGTGGCCAATCCTCTCCATTGTTGTGACCAGCTGCAGGAATGCGGAAGTGCCGGTTTCAAAGCTCGTACTACAGAGAAAAGCAAACAGTTTGCAGCTTGCTTTGAGTGAGTAAATGAATGAGCAGGGGGCTGGGAGTTCGGAACTTGCAAAATAGAGAGCTGACGTGCTCCAAAAAGCACTCTCTCCCCACACACACTCCCTGTCACAATCCACCCCACTCCCCCCGTTTTGAAAAGCACGTTGCAGCCACATGAATGCTGGGATAGCTGCCCATAATGCACCGCTCCAAACACAGCTGCAAATGTTGCAAGTGTGGCCACACCACTGCGCTGGCAGCTGTCAGTGTGGACAGACTGCAGCGCTTTCCCTACTCAGCTGTACGAAGACAGGTTTACCTCACAGCACTGTACAGCTGCAAGTGTAGCCAAGGCCTTAGTGAGTGAGTGAGAGAGAGGCAGGGAGGCTAGGGGGATCTGAACTTACAAGACAGCGTGCTGACACACTCTCAGCACTCCAAAAACCCACTCTCTCTCTCCCCCCACATACAAACAACACACTCCACACAACCCCCCTCATTTGAAAAGCACGTTGCAGCCACTTGAACGCTGGGATAGCTGCCCATAATGCACCGCTCCCAATGCCGCAAATGTGGCCATGCCATTGCGCTTGCAGCTGTCAGTGTGGACAGACTGGAGCGCTTTCCATAGTGTGCTCTCCGAAGGCTGGTTTAACCCAAAGCGCTCTACAGCTGCAAGTGTAGCCATGGCCTAAATGAATTCTTTGGCTTGTCTTCATGATTGAGGATGTGAGGGAGATTCCCAAACCTAAGCCAGTCTTTTTAGGTGACAGATCTGAGGAACTGTCCCAGATTGAGGTGTCATTAGAGAAGGTTTTGGAACAAATTGATAACTAAACAGTAATAAGTCACCAGGACCAGATGATATTCACCCAAGAGTTCTGAAGGAACTCAAATGTGAAATTGCAGAACTACTAACTGTAGTCTGTAACCTATCATTTAAATCAGCTTCTGTACCAAATGACTGGAGGATAGCTAATGTGATGCCAATTTTAAAAAAGGGGAGACCGGTTTACAGGCCGGTAAGCCTGACTTCAGTAGCGGGCAAACTGATTGAAACTATAGTAAAGAACAAAATTGCCAGACACATAGATGAATATATTTTGTTGGGGAAGAGTCAACATGGTTTTTGTAAAGGGAAATCATGCCTCACCAATTTACTAGAATTCTTAGAGGGGGTCAACAGGCATGTGGAAAAGGGGGATCCAGTGGATATAGTTTATTTAGATTTTCAGAAAGCCTTTGACAAGCTACCTCACCAAAGGCTATTAAGCAAAGTAAGCAGTCATGGGATAAGAGGGGAGGTCCTCTCATGGATTGGTAACTGGTTAAAAGATAGGAAACAAAGGGTAGGAATAAATGGTCAGTTTTCAGAATGGAGAGAAGTAAATAGTGGTGTCCCCCAGGGGTCTGTACTGGGCCCAGTCCTATATAACACATTCATAAATGATCTGGAAAAAGGAGTAAACAGTGAGGTGGCAAAATTTGCAGATGATTCAAAACTACTCAAGATAGTTAAGTCCCAGGAAGAGTGCGAAGAGCTACAAAAGTATCTCTCAAAACTGGGTGACTGGGCAACAAAATGGCAGATGAAATTTAATGTTGATAAATGCAAAGTAACGCACATTGGAAAACATAATCCCAACTATACATATAAAATGATGGAGGTCAAAATTAGCTGTTACCACTTAAGAAAAAGATCTTGGAGTCACTGTGGATAGTTCTCTGAAAACATCCACTCAATGTGCAGCGGCAGACAAAAAAGCAAACAGAATGTAGGGAATCATTAAGAAAGGGATGATAATAAGACATAAAAATATCATACTGCCTCTATATAAATCCACGGCACGCCCACATCTTGAATACTGTGTGCCGATGTCGTCGCCCCATCTCAAAAAAGATATATTGGAATTGGAAAAGGTTCAGAAAAGGGCAACAAAAATGATGAGGGGCATGGAGTGTCTACCATATGAAGAGAGATTAAAAAGACTAGGACTTTTCAGCTTGGAAAAAAGACGACTAAGGCGGGATGTGATTGAGGTCTATAAAATCATGACTGGTGTGCAGAAAGTAAATAAGGAAGTGTTATTTACTCCTCATAACACAAGAACTAGGGGTCACCAAATGAAATTAATAGGCAGCAGGTTTAAAACAAACAAAAGGAAGTATTTTTTCACACAATGCATAGTCAACCTGTGGAAATCCTTTCTAGAGGATGTTGTGAAGGCCAAGACTATAACAGGGGTCAAAAAAGAACTAGATAAATTCATGGAGGATAGGTTCATCAATGGCTATTAGCCAGGATGGGCAGGGATGGTGTCCCTCACCTCTGTTTGCCAGAAGCTGGGAATGGGTGATAGGGGATGGATCACTTGATGATTACGTGTTATGTTTATTCCCTCTGGGGCACTTGGCATTGGCCACTACTGGAAGACAGGATACTGGGCTAGATGGAACTTTGGTCTGACCCAGTATTGCCATTCTTATGTTACCAATTCAGGTTCAGTCTTTTTAGTGATTAGAGAGATCTCAGTTATAACCAAGCTTTATTGGTATTTATGAATTGATTAGTAGTATAGCGCATACAGAAAACTGGAGTCACATGGGGGTGAATCAATAAACCTGTTTTTGAGAAGGTTTAACTAACAAACTAATACAAATCCCAGAAACCACCAGGGCTTTAAATATGGGCTGGGATTCTCAAAGGAGCCCAACTCCCACTGAATTTCAGCTCTGAACCCCAAGGATTGCACTGGTTGGACAGAACTGGTCTAAGCACCAGGGCAAACCCCATTAGACATAGGGAAGCCATTAGTTTGGTTTGAAGCTGCACAGTCCCAGTTTTGTGGAGCACTATCCCTGACCGATAGGGACTCAGCACTGGATGTGGCTTTGTCCAGCGAAAATGAGAGAAAGGAGGAGACTGAGGACGCAGGAGGACACAGTGGGGGTGAGCTGACAAAGACGGCAGTGGGCCCCTGCAAGCCGACAGATGCAGCTGGGGGTGGGCCCATATAGGCAGGTGTGGGGATGTCCTGTATTCTGGGGGGGTGTCAGTGGCCACCCTAATTAGATGGGCTGATTTGTGTTAAGAATGGTTGGGATTTGCCCTATAGCTGTCCTAAACCCTTTACATAGCAATGACCTCGGGGTAGGTACCCTACTGGTTCCCTGGTAAAGATTCCAGAAGCAGTGGATTCTGGGAGATCTGAAAAGACAGTTTGGTGGGACTAAAGGGAATCAGTTTGACTTGTCCTTGCCCACATGCATAATAAAACAGTTCAGATCGACACCGGTCAGCACCGCCCAGGGGTTAGGTTAGCTACTGTCCAGTGTAATCCCCATGGTATTTGGCATGGACCTGCGCAGTCTGGAGCCCTTTTGTGTGTGGACTCAAGCTGCTCGGGGTCCCACACAGCATTTAGCACAGTGACCTCCTCTAGTGCACGCTGGCATTCAAGTTTAACCCCTTTGGGAGCAACACAGGAATTCAGAATCCCAGTGGGAAACCTCATCTCCCTGCTAGGTCTGGGACCTTTATCACGGTGCCTTTTCCTCCTAATGGACACACTTCTTCACTGGAGGCTGATGCTGAGGTGGCAGCATGGCCTAGTAGTTAGGGCCCTGGACTGGGCCTAGGGAGACATGGGCTCTATTCTGAGCTCAAGCACTGACATTCTGGGTGGCCTGGGCAAGTCACTGCCTCTCTCTGTGCTTCAGTTTCAGTCTTGGCTATTTAGACTCTAAACTGCTCAGAGAAGGGATTGTCTGTCACTGTTTTGTGCAGAGTCCAGATCTCATTTGGGGTCTGTAAGGGCTACTGTGATGCAAATAAAAGTAATAATAATAAATTCTATGAAACAAATCAGTAACAACAGCAACTTGTAACTTCCCCTCCTCCAGTCTTATAGACTCATAGACTCATAGACTTTAAGGTCAGAAGGGACCATTATGGTCATCTAGTCTGACCTCCCGCATGATGCAGGCCACAAAAGCTGACCCACCCACTTTCCCTTAACTCAGCTGTTGAAGTCTCCAGATCGTGATTTAAAGACTTCAAGTCGCAGAGAATCTTCCAGCTTGCGACCCCTGCCCCATGCTGCGGAGGAAGGCGAAAAACCTCCAGGGCCTCTGCCAATCTACCCTGGAGGAAAATTCCTTCCCGACCCCAAATATGGCGATCAGTAGAACCCCGAGCATACAGGCAAGATTCTCCAGCCGGACCCTCATTTTACCAGCGATGGCACGTTATTGCCTAATTGACTAAAATCACGTTATCCCATCAAACCATTCCCTCCATAAACTTATCTAGCCTAATCTTGAAGCCAGAGAGGTCTTTTGCTCCCACTGTTTCCCTCGGAAGGCTGTTCCAAAATTTCACCCCTCTGATGGTTAGAAACCTTCGTCTAATTTCAAGCCTAAACTTCCCCACGGCTAGTTTATATCCATTTGTTCTTGTGTCCACATTAGTACTGAGCTGAAATAATTCCTCTCCCTCCCTGGTATTTATCCCTCTGATATATTTAAAGAGAGCAATCATATCCCCCCTCAGCCTTCCTTTGGTTAGGCTAAACAAACCGAGCTCCTCGAGTCTCCTTTCATATGAAAGGTTTTCCATTCCTTGGATCATCCTAGTGGCCCTTCTCTGTACCCGTTCCAGTTTGAGTTCATCCTTTTTAAACATAGGAGACCAGAACTGCACATAGTACTCCAAATGAGGTCTCACCAGTGCCTTGTATAACGGAAGCAGCACCTCCTTGTCCCTAGTAGAAATACCTCGCCTAATGCATCCCAAGACCACATTAGCTTTTTTCACGGCCACGTCACATTGCCGACTCTTAGTCATCCTGCGGTCAACCAGGACTCCAAGGTCCTTCTCCTCCGTTACCTTCAACCGATGCGTCCCCAGCTTATAACTAAAATTCTTGTTAGTCATCCCTAAATGCATCACCTTACACTTCTCACTACTAAATTTCATCCTATTACTATTTCTCCAATTTACAAGGTCATCCAAGTCTCCCTGCAGGATATCCCGATCCTTCTCCGAATTGGCAATACCTCCCAACTTTGTGTCATCCGCAAACTTTATCAGCCCACTCCTACATTCGGTTCCGAGGTCAGTAATAAATAGATTAAATAAAATCGGACCCAAAACCGAACCTTGAGGAACCCCACTGGTGACCTCCCTCCAACCTGACAGTTCACTTTTCAGTACTACCCGCTGCAGTCTCCCCTTTGACCAGTTCTTTATCCACCTCTGGATTTTCATATCGATCCCCATCTTTTCCAATTTAACCAATAATTCCTCATGCGGTACCGTATCAAACGCTTTACTAAAATCGAGGTATATTAGATCCACCGCATTTCCTTTATCTAGAAAGTCTGTTACTTTATCAAAGAAGGAGATCAGGTTGGTTTGGCACGATCTGCCTTTCGTAAACCCATGTTGTAATTTGTCCCAATTGCCATTCACCTCAAGGTCCTTAACTACTTTCTCCTTCAAAATTTTTTCCAAGACCTTGCATACTACAGATGTTAAACTAACAGGCCTGAAGTTACCCGGGTTGCTTTTTTCCCCTTTCTTGAAAATAGGAACCACATTAGCTATTTTCCAGTCCAACGGTACCACCCCCGAGTTTACAGATTCATTAAAAATTATTGCTAAGGGGCTTGCAATTTCTTGCGCCAGTTCCTTCAATATTCTAGGATGAAGATCATCCGGTCCGCCCGATTTAGTCCCGTTTAGCTGTTCAAGTTTGGCTTCCACCTCTGATACGGTAATGTCAATCCCCCCTCCTTTATTCCCCTCTATCCTGCTGCCTCTATTCCTAAGCCCTTCATTAGCCTTATTAAAGACCGATGCAAGATATTCATTTAGATATTGTGCCATGCCTAGATTATCCTTAATCTCCACTCCATCTACATTCTTCAGCGGTCCCACTTCCTCTTTCTTTGTTTTCTTCCTATTTATATGGCTATAAAACCTCTTACTATTGGTTTTAATTCCCCTCGCAAGGTCTAACTCTACACAGCTTTTGGCCTTTCTCACTGCATCTCTACATGCTCTGACCTCAATAAGGTAGGTTTCCTTGCTGATCCCTCCCCTCTTCCATTCTTTGTACGCTTTCTGTTTTTTCTTAATCGCCCCTTTGAGACGCTCGGTCATCCAGCTAGGTCTAAATCTCCTGCCTACTAACCGTTTTCCCTTTCTTGGGATACAGGCCTCGGACAGCTCGTGCAACTTCAACTTGAAATAATCCCAGGCGCCATCTGCCTTAAGATCCCTAAATATGTTAGCCCAATCCACTTCCCTAAGTAGTTGCCTTAATTTATTAAAGTTGGCCTTTTTGAAATCGTAAACCTTAGACACAGTTTTAATTCAGTCTGAAGGCAACTCTTGTGACTTAAACCTCACTGAGCATTTAACACCGTCCGTTCTGTAAAAAGCATTTCAGCAGTGGAAGCTGGGTTTGAAAAGCATTCAGCATCTCAGAGAAAAGTTTCCCACGTCAGCTATCTTTAAAGATTTCATTTTTTGCCTTCCTTGCCCCACTGACAGATCATTTATTTTGTTATAGCAACTCTGATACAATGAAGGCCTTATAGAGCTGAATGGAGCAGTCACACCTGTGCCAGGTAACTTTCAGTAAAATTAATCTGTAATTAAAATCCAAAGTTACTACCCATTAAACTTGACAGCAATTCCCTACCTTGTGTTCCTGGGCAGCTTCCTCTACAGGAACCACCGTGTGAGCTCTGTGAGCTCGGGACAGATAGCAAACCACACAGACAGACATTTGATCCTCTTCACAGAACAGTTTCAGAGCCTCCTGGTGTTCCCCACGAAGCCTCTCCCTTTCTGCTCCTTTGGCTGCCTGTAAACTCAGCTGTTTGGCTATTTCTAGGACGTTTGCCAGCTGCCTGTTTGGCCTGAGGTTTCTCTGTTGCACAGTTTCTCTGCACTGGGGGCAAGAGGCGTTTGTATCGGATCCCTCCCAGCACTGGGTGATGCAGGCTCCGCAGAAATTGTGTCCACACTACAGAGTGACAGGTTCTCTGAAATACTCCAGACAGATGGGACAAGTAGCTTCATCCTGGAGACTTTCCACGGGGTTCTCTGCAGCCATGTTTCCTTCTGGGCAGTGTACTAAGGCCTGGTCTACACTATGAGTTTAAATCGAATTTAGCAGCGTTAAATCGAATTAACCCTGTACCCGTCCACACAGCGAAGCCATTTATTTCAAAATAAAGGGCTCTTAAAATCGATTTCTGTACTCTTCCCCAACGAGGGGAGTAGCGACAAAATCGATATTGCCATTTCGAATTAGGGTTAGTGTGGCCGCAATTCGACGGTATTGGCCTCCGGGAGCTATCCCACAGTGCACCATTGTGACCGCTCTGGACAGCAATCTGAACTCGGATGCACTTGCCAGGTAGACAGGAAAAGCCCCACGAACGTTTGGATTTTATTTCCTGTTTGCCCAGTGTGGAGAGCACAGGTGACCACAGAGAGCTCATCAGCACAGGTAACCATTCAGTCCGAGAATCGAAAAAGAGCACCAGCATGGACCGTACGGGAGGTACTGGATCTGATCACTATATGGGGAGAGGATTCAGTGCTAGCAGAACTACGTTCGAAAAGATGAAATGCCAAAACTTTTGAAAAAGTCTCCAAGGGCATGATGGAGAGAGGCCACAATAGGGACTCATATCAGTACCGTGTGAAAGTTAAGGAGCTCAGACAAGCCTATCAAAAAACAAAGGAGGCAAACGGTCGCTCCGGGTCAGAGCCGCAGACATGCCGCTTCTATGCTGAGCTGCATGCAATTCTAGGGGGGGGCCGCCACCACTACCCCACCTCTGACCGTGGATTCCGAGCAGGGGGTAATCTCAGCCACACCTGAGGATTCTGCGGATGGGGAAGAGGAGGAGGAGGAGGAGGATGAGCTTGCAGAGAGCACACAGAACTCCGTTCTCCCCAATAGCCAGGATCTCTTTCTCAGCCTGACTGAAGTACCCTCCCAACCCTCCCAAGGCAGTATCCAAGACCATGACCCCATGGAAGGGACCTCATGTGAGTTTACCTTTTAAAATATAAAACATGGTTTAAAAGCAAGCATTTTTAAATTATTAATTTGCCCTGAGGACTTGGGATGCATTCGCGGCCAGTACAGCTACTGGAAAAGTCTGTTAACGTGTCTGGGAATGGAGCGGAAATCCTCCAGGGACATCTCCAGGAAGCTCTCCTGGAGGTACTCCAAAAGCCTTTCCACAAGGTTTCTGGGCAGTGCAGCCTTATTCCGTCCTCCATGGTAGGACACTTGACCACGCCATGCTAGTAGCAAGTAATCTGGTATCATTGCATGACAAAGCCTGGCAGCGTATGGTCCCGGTGTTTGCTGGCATTCAAGCAACATCCGTTCTTTATCTCGCTGTGTAATCCTCAGGAGAGTGATATCGCTCATGGAAACCTGGTTGAAATACGGGAATTTAATTAAGGGGACAGAGGTGGCCCTTCCTACTGGGCTGTTTGCCTGTGGCTGAAAATAAATCCTTCCCTGTAGAAAGCCAAGCGCTGGGGGGGGGGGGGGGAGGCAATTGGTGCTGAGCTTTTCATGTTTGGCTAGCAGGGATCTTCCCTGATACCAGCCACATGGTGGAGGGAGGGGTAAAGCGATCATCCCAGAGAATTGGATGGGGGGGGGGGGTTAGTTTGTTTTCTGCTGCTGCAGGTTAAAAGGAAAACCACAGCATTCAATGGGCTTTGCTTGGTATGTGGGAAAGGAGGGCGCAGAAGCCAAAAGACAATGGCTTACCATGGCCGCATGCAAGCCGAATTCTGTTGCCCGGACCTGCGTCTGTGATCTCTAACACCAAAGCCACAGGCACTCAATATTAAGATGCAAAATGCGACCTTGCACAGAAATCACATGTGCTATATAATGTGAATAGTGTTGTTCACCGTGAAAGAGTATAAGCATTGTTCTGTAAAATGTATCTTTTTAAATACTTCTCTCCCTTTTTTCCCTCCCTCCCTCCCTCCTTCCAGCAGCTGCAAATTTTTCAAGCCTCCCTCCTCCGTCCCGAAGGCTATCTCAGATAAGGCGTCGGAAAAAGAGGACGTGAGACGAGATGTTCGCGGAAATCATGGAATCCACCCGCAATGAAAGAGCTCATCTGAATGGGTGGAAGGACACTGTATCAAAGTACAGGAAAGATGCCAGTGAATGTGAGGACAGGAGGGGCCGACATGAGGGACCAACATGAGGAGAGGAGAGACGCTCGAGATGAGAGGTGGCAGCAGGAAGATCAGAGGAGGCAGGATGCAACGCTGGGGTTGCTGCGTGAGCAAACAGACATGCTCCGGCATCTGGTGGAGCTTCAGGAACAGCAGCAGGATCACAGACTGCCGCTACAGCCCCTCTCCCCCCTTACCATGTTCCATAGCCTCCTCACCCAGACGTGTAAGAACGCGGGGGGGGGGGAGGCTCCGTGCACCCTCCCATTCCACCCCAGTGGACTGCCCAAGCAAAAGGCTGTCATTATTTTAACCTTTTTTTAGTGGCCTTTTCCTTCCCTCCGATCCTCCTCCCAAACCCCACCTGGGCTACCTTGTCAGTTCTCTCCCTCTTTTTATAATCAATTAATAAAGAATAAATGATTTTTAAATGATAGTGATTTTATTTCCTTTGAAAGCAAGCTGTGATCGAAGGGTGAGGGTGGGTTGCTTACAGAGAATGAGTCAATAAAGGGGGCGGGTTTTCATGAAGGAGAAAAAAACAGAACTTTCACATGGTAGCCTGGCCAGTCATGAAACTGGTTTTCAAAGTGTCTCTGATGCGCTGCACTTCCTGGTGTGCTCTTCTAATTGCCCTGGTGTCTGGCTGTGCGTAATCAGCAGCCAGGCGATTTGCCTCAGCCTCCCACCACGCCATAAAGGTCTCCCCCTTACTTTCACAGAGATTGTGGAGCACACAGCAAGCAGCAATAACAATGGGGATACTGGTTTGGCTGAGGTCTGAGCGAGTCAGTAACGCGCGCCAGCAACCTTTTAAACATCCAAATGCACATTCTACCACCATTCTGCACTTGCTCAGCCTGTAGTTGAACAGCTCCTGACTCCTGTCCAGGCTGCCTGTGTATGGCTTCATGAGCCATGGCATTAAGGTGTAGGCTGGGTCCCCAAGGATAACTATAGGCATTTCAACATCCCCAATGGTTATTTTCTGGTCCGGGAAGTAAGTCCCTTGCTGCAGCCGTTTAAACAGAGTAGTGTTCCTGAAGACGCGAGCCTCATGAACCCTTTCCGGCCAGCTCAATTGATGTTGGTGAAATGTCCCTTGTGATCCACCAGTGCTTGCAGCACCATTGAAAAGTACCCCTTGTGGTTTATGTACTGGGTACCCTGGTGCTCCGGTGCCAAGATAGGGATATGGGTTCCATCTATCGCCCCACCACAGTTAGGGAATCCCATTGCAGCAAAGCCGTCCACTATGACCTGCACATTTCCCAGAGTCACTACCTTTCGTAGCAGCAGCTCAGTGATTGCCTTGGTTACTTGCATGACAGCAGCCCCCACAGTAGATTTGCCCACTCCAAATTGATTCCCGACTGACCGGTAGCTGTCTGGCGTTGCAAGCTTCCACAGGGCTATCGCCACTCGCTTCTCAACTGTAAGGGCTGCTCTCATCTTGGTATTCTGGCGCTTCAGGGCAGGGGAAAGCAAGTCACAAAGTTCCATGAAAGTGCCCTTACGCATGCGAAAGTTTCGCAGCCACTGGGAATCGTCCCACACCTGGAACACTATGCTGTCCCACCAGTCTGTGCTTGTTTCCAGGGCCCAGATTCGGCGTTCCACGGGTAGAACCTGCCCCATCAACAACATGATCTCCAAAGCGCCGGGGCCCGCGGTTTGAGAGAATTCTGTGTCCGTGTCCATGTCCTCATCACTCTCGTCGCCGTGCTGCCATCGCCGCCTCCTCCTTGCCTCGTTTTTCAGGTCCTGGTTCAGCATAAACTGCACGATAATGCGCGAGGTGTTTACAATGTTCATGACTGCTGTCTTGAGCTGAGCGGGTTCCATGCTTGCTGTGGTATGGCGTCTGCAGTGTTCACCCAGGAAAAAAGGCGCAAAACGGTTGTCTGCCGTTGCTTTCATGGAGGGAGGGGTGAGGCTGTACCCAGAACCACCTGCGACAATGTTTTTTGCCCCATCAGGCACTGGGATCTCAACCCAGAATTCCAATGGGCGGGGAAGACTGCGGGAACTATGGGATAGCTATGGGATAACTACCCACATTGCAATGCTCCGGAAATCGATGGTAGCCCCGGTACATGGATGCACACCGCCGAATTAATGTGCTTAGTGTGGCCGCATACATTCGACTTTATACAATCTGTTTCCAAAATTCGAATTCTGTAAATTCAGATTAATCCCATAGTGTAGACATACCCTAAGAGTCAGTTTCCTGAGCTCAGAAATATGCCCCGCCTACAGCAACAACTGTGTGTTTCCCCTCCTGGAACTGGTGTTGTTTGCTGAACTGGGAGGAGCCCACTGGTAACATTACAGCCCTGGAGGCTTTTGTGAAAAATGTACCACTAGGGCTCTGGTGCGGTCTTGCAGGAGCAGGGTCTGTGTGTCTAAGGAGGGATATTCAGGCTTTGCAGAATTCATTTTTTAAAATACATAATTTTGACAGATGTTTACTGTTAAGCAATTTTATATTTATTCATTTAAACTTTCACAGTTGCAGAAAAATATGGGTTTTAACCATTACATTCCTATGTGTATTTATTTAAATTTTCATAGTTGTGGGAAATTATGGTCGGGGGGCACTGGGGAGATCAGACAATATTTTGGTCAGACAATTATTTAATTGTAGACACAGATTCAAAAAGTTCCAGTTTTAGAACGATTAAAATAGAAATTGTCAACATCACATGTCAAAACATGCAAAGTAAATATTCTTAAATCAAACTCTAATAAGTTATCAAGCTGCATTGTTCTTACTGTGCCTATTTGTATTTTTCAGTTATTATCAATGGAAATATTTTTTTCGGGGTGTGTGTGTGTGTGTGTGTGTACGTACAGTGAAATCAATATTTACAGACATCTACTGATAAAGTCTAATCCTTCCAAGTCTAGTGATATTAAATTCACAGGCCAAAAACTTGGTTAAGCTGGAATCAATGTTTCAAATGCCTGATTCTCATTTATTCTAAGGCTGCTCTGGCTCAGAGTAAAGGGGCTGCAGTGTCACCAACACTCATGATTCTATAATGCATCTCAGGATATTTGGTGTGTTTGTTAAAGCCCCAGCTCCTGGAAGCATGTGATGAGGTGAGACTCTGGACTTTCATTTTTTTAAACAAAGGAAGTTTCTAGCTTTCTTGGTTGCAGAGAAAAAGTTAAAAATGTGACCCGAGTGCAGCCTAAAGGTCTGGGAAGCCACAGGGTGAATAGAAAGAACCCAACATTTATTATCACCATTTTTATTTTTAAGTCTCATGATTTTAAAGCAATTAGTCATTTTGGGGGTCCTGACTCAAGATTTTTAAAAGTTTGGGGTTGGCAATATTGTGTCACTGAGAATTCAGGCATTAAATCTCTATCTGCTACCCATGGAAAGCCCCCTAATTTAGGGCCATCATTAATCTAAAACAGCACCGTTAATAGAAATAGACAGAGATGGCAAGCTATGGGAATGCCCATGGAGCTGGGCTGGGCACCCCCAGTAACAAATGAGCACAGCCCCCCTCCAGTGGGGGTGAACTAACAAGATAAAGGAGAATGTTTGTTTTTATATTTAGGTCATTGGAGCCTTAGCTGGAGAACATTGGCCTGAAAACAAACTGATCACTGCCGATGCAGTATTGTCAGCACCATGTAATCAAAAATCATGAGGCTGGCTGAAAAAACACATGAGGGTTTTTTCTTCTAAAAAATTACATTCTGGACTTTTTGTTTGTTTGTTTCTGAGCATTCAGGATTCACTCTGGTCATGTTTTCAAACTTTTCTACTCAGCCATGAGAGCAAGAAACTTACCTTTGTTAAAGTGAGAGCTGAGATTGTCATGTAGTCACAGGATTTCAGGAGCTGGGGCATTAAGAGAAACACCAGCTATTGAAAGAGTCAATGTGAAATCACGGATGTTTGCAATCACCCCAATGTGACGTTTTGTGATTGGATGTGGACAGGAAACAGCGGCACTTCTAGCTATTGCAGATCCTTATCTGGCCTCATCACCGCACTACCTGAGCACCTCACAAACTTCAATTTGCTTAGCCAAGCCATACTGCTGTGACATGGGGAAGGGCTGTTACTCCCATTTTAGAAAGGGGAAAGTCAGGCCCAGACAGAATAAATGACTTACCCGAGTTCACACAGAGCAGGGAATTGAACCTGGATCTGCTCAGGGTAACAGAGTACCTTAACTACTAGGCAATCCTTTTTCTCTGCAGCAGCAACCTGGGAAAGAGAAACGGATAGACAGACTCACCACACATCTCATAACCATCTCACTGACACTCCCCACAACCACTAGGCCAGTCCGTGCAGAGTCAGGTGCTAAGGGTGGTGTTACCAGTCCTTGATTTGGTGCTTCGGGGGGTCTTCACTTGCCTCCAACTAGCTTTCTTTAGTTAGTCCCTAAGCAGGACAGTTCTTGGTCCCCAGCTTCTAATTAGGCCTAGTAGTCTACTTCAGTGCCTTTGAGCTGTGTTTCTAGAGGCAGCCTGGTACAGAGATATCACCCACTTTTCCATCCCAGGTCTTCCTGCCCTTGCTGAGCTCTTTCCTTTTATAGCTGGCCTTGTTTCCCTTATTGGTTGCAGCTCTGGGTGCTTGCATCCATGATTGGCAGTTGAGGCATCTGCGTGGGGGTGTGGTCAGGCTGCTTTAGGGTGACCAGATAGCAAGTGGGAAAAATTGGGACAAGGGGTGGGGGGTAATAGGTGCCTATAAAATAAAAAGCCCTGAATATCGGGACTGTCCCTATAAAATTGGGACATCTGGTCACTCTGGGCTGCTTGCCTGTAGGGAGGAGAGAATCCCTTCCCCCCTCTGCCTCTGCTCCGTATGGGGTTTGCTGTAGACCCCATTACAGGTGGCATGGGACAGTGGGGAGAGGAAGGGGGAGGGAATGGGGAAGAGAAGGGGATATGGGAATGGGTGGGGGGAAGCTGGAGCCTGGCATGTGGCATCCCCTTGGCAGCAGCAGCAGCCCCAGCAGGGAGACAGCTGCAGCAGCACCAGATCAGTGATATCGCTGCAGATGCTGATGCCAGAGCAGGGGCCAGCAGCAGCTGGGACTCCACCATTAAGCCGGCCCATCCCCCACAGCACCAACAGCCCAGGTACCAATCCTGGTGTGGGGAAAGAGCCAGTGAACAAAGAGAACTGGCTTCAGTTTGCACGTCTGTGCATGCATGTGTGCACACGCTTTGCCCCCTCCCCAAATATAGCAGCCAAACTATGCCTGTGCTGGGAGATGGTGTTTTTAAGCATGAGGGAGTCTGAAGGATCTGCACCAAAGGACTAGGCAGCAGGTTCCAGATGTCAGGATAAGGGGCTAGAGATGTGCCTAAGGACCCCAAGATTTGGGCAATGGATGGGCTCTGTTCTGGTCCCAGAGGCTTGAACTATCTGGGGATCCTGGGGCTCAGATGCTTGGATCCCCCTTACAGCTGTCCGGTGGCACCTAATCGGTTCTGGGATACACACACACACCAGTAAACAGAAACCTTCTCACTGCTCAGCATCCAAACACCTTTAACTCTGACCAGGTGGATTCTGGTGAATATTTCTACATGCCTGAAATATTAAATACAGAGACATGAATGGAGAGGTCTCCACCTCAGGGCTGCCACATCCCTTTCCCTTGGGCTGATGGGGGCTCTTTTCTTGATGCTTCTCCCTGTTTCTGGATTAGGGAGAGACTTTCCCTCCAGTCCTGCCACTTCCTGCACCCTTTGCCTTGGGTTGGGAAGGGTCCTATTAATGGTTCATCCTAGGCTGGGGAGAGGCTATCTCCTGTTCCATGTCTTCCACTGTTCTCTTTGGCTGGGATAGAGCAGCTGGTGGCTTTAACCATAGACACCTGCAGCAGCAGTTGCCCCAGCTGTGCTTCTGGGAATGGGGCAGCCCCAGCAGAGAGAGCAGAGAGATGCAGCAGGGGAGGAGGCAGAAAGGCAGCCACAATAGTGCCCTCGGCAGCCAAGTGGAGGAACTGCAGTGGAATTAGTCTCAGGCAACCAGGACAGAGAGGCAGCTCCCTGGGACCCAGGACTATCCCAGCCAGAATGTGGATGCTGGGTAGTGTGAGAAATAGTCCCAGCCTCCCCCAGGGCTGAGCTCTGCCCCATATGCTCTGATTCTCCCTCCCCAGCAAATGTGACTCTGGATCCAAGCACCGCGAGTCATGAACTCAACCTGTATGCGAATCAGAAAAGTGTAACATGGATGGAAACGTTGCAAAATTTGTGCCTGACAATCCTGAGAGATTTGATTCCATTCCCTGTGTGCTGGGCTGTGAAGGAATCACCTCAGGGAGACATTTCTGGGAGGGGCAGGGTAACAGAGACTTAAACATGGATGTTGCCAGAGAGCTCCTAAAGGGAGGATCAGGACTTTGGAGGTGAGTGGAGGTCATTCAGTGCTATCGGCTCCTCCCACTCCAGATCCTGAATATGATTCAGGAAGATTGAGATTAATCTGGACTATGAAGATGGACAAGTGACATTTTTCGATACTGATAACCAGGCCCCCAGCTGCACTTTCCTGCTGGCCTCTTTCATGGAGGAGAGAATCCACCCCTGATTCTGGATGGGTCTGGAATGATGGCTCTCACTGTGTCCCTGAGATGGCTGGTAAAATATCCCACTGGGACTGGGTATAATAGGCCAGGGGCGGCTGAGCCTCCCCAAACAGCCCAGCATGCCCCCCCCCCCACGCTCTGCCACCAGGCTTCCTCCTGCCTGCTTCCAGTTTCTGCTCTTCTGTGGCTGGAGCTGGGGGCGGTGTTTGCAAGGCCTGGGGCTGGGGTTGGGGGCACTGGGGCCATGGCTGCACTGCCCGGCACTCCGGGGCTGGGGTTGGGGCATTGCAGCTGTAGTGGAGGTGCTCTGGGCTCCGGCAGGGGAGGGGGATGGAATGGGGAGGGAGAGGGGTGAGGCCTCGGGCAGAAGGGGTGGGCCCGGGAGCTAGCCTCCCCCAGTGGCCGGTTCACCCACCTCCCATGCCACCTGGGTCATTAAATTGTCAATTCAGAGTGGGACCAGTTAGTGTACAATCATTTGAAACCTCACATTTATTTACTGTCAATAAAATGTTTAAAGTTATTTTCTTTCCACTGTTTTTAAAACCAGCTGAAATTCTTCGAGAGAATCTTTTTCATGAAAAATGTTCTCATTTTTTAGACAGCACTCCTATTTGTGGCCCAGATACTGCAAACCAAAGCTGAGTGAATTTCCCACTGGATTCAGCAAAATAAACATAAAAAGAACAGGAGTACTTGTGGCACCTTAGAGACTAACAAATTTATTAGAGCATAAGCTTTCGTGGGCTACAACCCACTTCTTCGGATGCAGAAGTATCTGTATTTTGAAGTATTATGAAGAAGTGGGTTGTAGCCCACGAAAGCTTATGCTCTAATAAATTTGTTAGTCTCTAAGGTGCCACAAGTACTCCTGTTCTTTTTGCGGATACAGACTAACACGGCTGCTACTCTGAAACCTGTCAAAATAAACATGAGTCAGTTCCAGGAAGGGAAACACCCAGTTGCTGCTGTAGGAGGGACATATTTTTGAGCACAGGAAATTGAACCTTATCCTGTTACACTGTCCTGGGGAGCTATGGCTGCAGAGAACCCCGTGGAAAGCCTCAAAGATGAAGCTACTTGTTCCATCTGTCTGGACTATTTCGAAGATCCAGTGTCTATACGCTGTGGGCACAATTTCTGCCGAGCCTGCATCACCCAGTACTGGAGGAAGTCAGATACAAACTTCTCCTGCCCTCAGTGCAGGAAAATTGTTCAGCACAGAAACTTCAAGCCAAACAGGGTGCTGGCAAATGTTGTGGAAATAGCCAAACAGCTGAGTTTACAGGCAGCAAAAGATTCAGGAGGCGAGAGAGAGTGTGAGAAACACCAGGAGGCTCTGAAACTCTTCTGTGAAGAGGATCAAAATCTAATTTGTTGGATCTGCAGAGACTCCTGGGATCACAGAGCTCACACTGTGGTTCCCATAGAAGAAGCTGCCCAAAATTACAAGGTAAGAAATCTCTGTAGCTTTGGATTTTTTGCATACATATTTCTCTTCCTTTGCTCTGATGGTTACTGTCCCCCAACTGCACTGCATATGCAAACGATGCTATAGAAGGGAAAGTTGTACTGTGAAGTGGCAAAATAGGCAGAAAGTGTAGGATTCAAAGGTGTATGATAGTGGAAAACATCTTTCGGAAGTTGGAGCCCTTTCCAATCCATTTCTCACTGGTGTGTGTGGGGGGAGGGGAACCTTTCTAGACAATTGAAGTTGTTCAGCGTAAAGTGAGGTTTGATTCACAAGCTCTTAAGGGCAATTTAGGTAATGGTGTCGCCTTCAGAGCTGCAAAGAGGAAGCTACTGCACAGAGCAAGGGTATGTCAGCACGAGCATTGCGAAGTGGCACAGCTGTGCTGCTGTAGTGTGGACACTTCCTGCAGTGGTGGAAGGAGCTCTTGTAAATCTACCTCCTTGAGAGAGGGTAGCTAGGTCAATAGGACAGCATAGTTAAGCCAACCATACTTTGCAGTGTAGACCAGCCCCACGTCCTCAAATTAGGCAGGCGATTCCAGGCTAAGGCTGCAGATGAGTTTCCTCACCAAACTTGTGAACTCAACTGATAAAAGTGCCAATTGATTAACTGAGAGGATAAGCAATTTTTAGTAAGAAATGGCAGCCTATGAGTTTAGAAGGGGTGGCATCGTCCTCCTCTTCCTCCTCCCCTCTCAGCTGTTTAGTGAGGAGTGAAGCAGGCACTACCACTATTCTTGCAAGACTCGGCTTATGCACCTGATTCCAAAAGAGGGCTTGCCACTGAGAATCCTAGGCAGAGGGAGGTGCCTTCAGGCATCTGGGCCTCAGGGCTTGTCTACACTTAGAGCACTGCAGTGGTGCAGCTGCGCCTCTGTGGTGCTTAGTGAAGACTCTACCTACGCCAACAGGAGAGCTTCTCCCAAAGGCGTAGGCACTCTACATCCCTGAGGGGCCGTAGCTACGTCAGCGGGAGAAGCCCTCTTATCGACGTAGCACTGTGTACAGTGGGAGTTCGGTCAGTGTAACTGCGTCGCTCAGGGTGTGGATTTTCGACAGCCCTGAGTGACACAGTTATACTGACATAAATTCGTAGTGTAGTCCAAGGCTTAGGCACTGAAATCCCTGAGAGAGGTGGAGCTTAGGACACACCCCTGTCCTTGGCATCTCCCATTGGCTACCTTAGGTGCCTCCCCGCCTAGCATGCTGGCTTTTGTGAATCCCATGCTTAGGTGCCTGTCTTTCCCCATGCATTGTGTAGGGATCATGTGGGCTCAGTTCAGAGTTTGTGGAGTCCACTGGCTTTCTAGGTATCTAAAAGTTAGGTGCTATAATGCTCAGAATTGCAACACCTAAGTCCCCCCTGGGAATGTAGCCTTGTGTCCCTTGCACTGCTTTCAAAATCTCAGCCTATATATTTTTTGCATACTCTTGAGTTCTTTCATCTTTGGGATTGTATGGACTTTGCTGAACATGCCAGTAGGCCAGCTTCATTTGCCATTTTTATCCACTTTTTGCTAATGTATCAAAATTGTTGTTACTGATGTGATCTACCCTTGAAAATATAAATAAAACTGGAAACAAAGAACCTAAAATGCAACCAAAGCAAAATAACGTTTCTGTTCCTAGGCTCACATTCAGAGACAACTGGAGTTTTTGAAGCAAGAGCGAGATGAGGTTCTGGATTTTAAACGGAGTGGGGAAATGAAAACCCAGAAGCTGCTGGTAAGTACTCTTGTTACTCACTGATGCAGCAGTTCTCAAGCTTTAGCAACTCGAGGACCCTCATTTTGATTTAAAAATTTTTGTGGACCCCCAAGCCCCCTTCTCAGTCCCAGGCCCCGCCCCCACTCCACCCCTTACCCCAAGGCCCCAGCACCACCCCATCTCTTCCCATCCCCTTTTCACCCCTGCTCCTCATCTTCCCTGTTTCTTTCTACCCCCTCCCCCAAGCTCACCCATCCCCACTCCTCTCCCGCCTTCCCAGCGCCTCCTGCACACTGTTAAACAGCTGTTCCCTAGCATGCAGGAGCATGCACTCGTGGACCCCCAGTGGGCCGTGGACCCCAGTTTGAGAAACGCTTCACTAATGGATATACCCCGGTCATTTCCAACAGTGTGGTTATTTTGAGTACTATCAAATTACAGTGAGTAACATGTTCCGCTCTGTATGATATTATTACTCATTTATTCCTCTTTGAAAAGTAAACTCCCTTTTGGTTTAATGGAGACACACAGAAATGTTTGATGAATAAGGCAAACAGTGGGATGGAGAAAGTGAACATAGATCACAGGGTTCTCAGTTAGGGGAACGTCTCATCCTTTGAACATTCATCAGACCTGCCGACATCACTGCAGCTCAGTAGTGATTGCAGCTGCTGTAGGACTCTCCTGCCCCCAGCGGAGCTGGTGATCCGGTGATGTCCCTGGGAGCTGCCATGGAGATGATATGAGTTCCATATCTGGTCTCAGTTCCTGGCTCCCTGGGATTCCATAGGGCTGGGAGGACTCAATGCCAACATCATAAAAATCGCCATCTCATCGACTCCTAAATATTGAGATCAGAAGGGACCATTATCACCATCCAGCCTGACCTCCTGCATGACACAGGCCTGAGAACCTCACTCAGTGATTTCTGCACCAAGCCTATGTTGGAGCTGCAGCAGATGTTTTAGAAAGACAGTCAGCTGGCCCTAATTGGCCACTTTTTTATCCATCTTAGCTGTGTGGGCAGAACATTGTTCTTGTTGCTGTATAAACTGTTCTTCTGCTAGGTGCTGTATAAACAGAGAACAAAAAGATGATCCCTGCCCCAAAGAGCTGACAGTCTAAGTGTAAAACCAGAGACAACAGCTGGCTACAGACAGATGGGGGAGCACAAGGGACCAGTGGGACAATATTGTTCAGCATGATTGGCAACGGTCTCAGCACATCAGCAGCCTAACCCTCGCCAAGTGGTTTTGTAGCCATCATGGAGCAGGAGAGTTTTAAGGAGGGTTTTTATGCAAGATAATGAGAGAGTTTTGTGGATGTTTATGGGAGCTTCTTCCAAGCATGAGGAGCAGCATGGAAGAAAGTGCAGTGAAAGATTATACATAGGCTGGGGATGGGTTGTGAAGGGCTTTGAAAGTACAGACAAGCAGCTCATGTTTGATGCAACAGAAAAAGTGGGACCTGGTGTAGGGATGCAAAGAGAGGGGTGACATGGTCAAAGCGATGGGCTAGGAAAATGACCTTTGCAGCAGCATTCTGAATGGATACAAGCAGGAAAAGATTGCAGCGATCAAGGACAGAGAGAAAGATGCTGCAGTAATCAAGACATGAGATGATGAGAGTGTAGATGAGGGTTTTAGCTGTGGAGAGGGATAGGAAATGAAACTCTAGTCTCACCTCCATAGGGGCTATATCCAGGCAAGCATGAGGCATCTTCTCATTTCAATACTATAGTGATGGTGAAGGGTTATCTCAAACGTACATTTTCTATCCAGCCTGTACATTTCTGCACCCCAAATTGCATGCATCTACTGACTACAACTGTGCCTGTGAAATGGTCTCAGCTGGTGTGGGGATGGGATTTCGCCATCTGTTCCAACAACTTGGGTTTGTCTCTGGTATTACCTAGGTACCCTGTGTTGTCAGACTCTTCCTCCTCACACCCGCTTAGCTGCAGGGTATGTCATGCCACAATCTTGAGCTCTCTGTGTAGAACACTCACATTTGAATCTCCACAAGTCTCTTGTTCTTGCATCAGGTGATTAGACAGTCAACCAGCACCTCTGCTTTCATTGACCTGCCTGGATGCAATTCTGAGTCCGATGGTCACCAATAATTTGTGTACCGCAAATTATATATCCAGAGACTTGAAAGCACAAGAATGGGTGTTAAGACATTGTGGCCCTTCATGTCTGCTTGGCTGTGCACATTTTTCTGTAGGATGCGTGTGGAGCATCACTCATAGAACTGGCTGGGAAATGGTTTTCCTATCTCCTGAATATTTTTTGAGTGTTTGAGATTTTTCCCCATGTGATGAAAAGTAAAATCTCAAAAATATTCATGAACCAAAAAATATTTTTTCCCATTTTGGGTCAATCAAATGTGTTTTGACTCAGTAATTTTGAAACATTTCATTTCAATTTTGACCTTTTTCCCCATTTTTTTAAAAAAACCTCAGTCTAAATTAGCTTAAATTTAAAATGAAAAGTCATTTTAAACCAGATTTCTTCAATCTAAAAAGTCAAAACAAAGTATTGACAATTTGGAATTTGTCTGAGTTGGGAAATCTGCCACACCTGACCCGTGTCACAAACAGTTTTGGGTTTGATAACTCTACATTTTTCAACAACAAAAAACAAAATGATTAGATGAAAAATTCCTGACCAGTTCTAATCACTGACTCCTGGCAAATGTTTTTGTGTCATTGCCTTTCTCTTTCAATCCAATTCTGAGTCACTCCTCCTCCCTCTTGTCAATTTTCCTGTTATTGGAAGGATGTGGTTTTCAGGAGGCCAGTGATAAAGGAGACAGAGGGTTAAGTATGAAAAAATAGCTCTAACCTTTATGACCAGTTTGGCCAGCTGGGAGGCGACAGAAAAATCTCCTCTTTCTATGCCAAGTGTTGAGTTGTCAGGGATTGAATGAAATGCTGCTCACTGCACACAAAGGGCTTTGTAGAATTTCATGACTCTTCCTGCTCCTCAACTGCCCTTTTCTTCTTTCACATTTGCTTATGGCAGAAACAGACAGAAACCCAGAGGCAGAAGATTGTGTCCGAATTTCAGCAAGTGCGCCAGTTAGTGGAGGAAAAACAGCGATTCCTGCTTGCCCAGCTGGATGAGATAAACAAGGACATTTTAAAGAGGCAGAACAACTATATTGCCAAAATCACAGAAGAAATATCCCGTCTTGACCACCTGATCAGTGAGCTGGAAGGGAAGTGCCAGCAGCCAGCGAGTGAATTCCTGCAGGTGAGACTGTGGATCAGAGACACCCCAGCTCCCTGCACAGGGAAGGAGAGTCTTTTAAATTGGTATTGGCATCCAGGATTATCATAGTCAAGTAAACTGTTCTATTTTCTGAATGAAGAGTAACAGATTCACAGTTGTCCTGCATAAAAGTGGACAGGTGTTTGTGGCCCAGTCTCTTCCAGGGTGGCCAGCCTTCTTCCACATGTGCGATTTTTAATTGCAAGATTTCTTATCCCACAAAATGGGTATTCCTGGAAGCTAATAGCCTTAAACTGCTGCATTCTCTGATCCCATCCTCCATTCTGCAGCACGCTGAATTGAAGTAACCCCTGGATCCTGTGTTCCTTGTTGTCACCCAGATTCTCCCTGGTAGTAAAATCCTAGAAATGAAACATACCTTGGACTCTGCATTCCAGCCCGCTGTCTGTGGGTAGCTCTCATTCACACCCCTGAGAGATATGCACACACCACTGACGGGTGGGGGAGGGCCTCTTGAAGCATTTTTGGAGAAAAGTTCACCACAAGGTCAAACGTCACACAGAGAACAGGAATCCAAGGAACTAAGATATTAAAATGAAACGAAGCTGCCAACTATGTGTAAAGTTGCTGGCTGCAGGGGACTTGGGCTGGAACTCAGACTGGGGGTGTCAAAGTGAGTCTGCCCCAGAGCAGGAGGGGTCCTCAGTGTGCAGCGTGTGGGACTGAGCTCCCTGTTCTCTCTCGCCCCTCTAGGACGTCAGAAGCACCTTGAGCATGTACGAGGCTCCTTCTCACTCCCCCTCATTCGCCACGGTTCTGGAAGGAGCTTGGACACTAGGGGCCAGATTTACAAAGGTATTGTTACCTCTTTTGGCCCTAGTGGCTGGCCAAAAACTCAGGGTCTTGTACTGTTGTTCCTGCTGGAAACAGAAACTGGAGATAGAGTCAGGTATTCCTTTGATGCAATCCTGTTTATTTACAAAATATGTACAAAGTCCTGCTTCCCCGGGGATGGGGGCGGGGGAGGGTGGGAGAGAATCCAACAACAGGAGACAGTTTCCTCACTCACAACTCCAAGCCTCTCTTAGCCAGCACTCAGCCCCGAAAGCTGGAGCTCCTCGGCTCCTTGGGGCCATGCCCCAGTGCTTGTTCAGGCTGTGTCTGGAGCTTCCTTCTCTGTCTCTCTGTGCGGTGTGTCTGTTGCTTCTCACTCACACACACACACGCACCCCTCTACCCAAAATATCCCCAGTGAATCCCTTCCACCTGTATCATTCCAATTCCTGAGTGGCCTCACATTTGTCTTTGTTCTGATGGGGACACATGCTCCTCTGTGGTTGGAGGCCCCTCTCATTTCAGCTTCCTGCTTCCATAAAGGAGTTCAGTGACTTCCTACGACTTGTCACAGTTCCAGGGTTAACGGCACCTCCATCTCTCCCGTTGCCTCCTCTAGGGCAGCCCTTTAGGTCTCAGGCCTCCAGCCATCACCTCTCTCTGGGCAGGAACCCATGTTCCTCTCTCTCCAGACCAGGGGTTTAGGCTTGCAGTCCCCTTGTAATTCATTGCACCTACCCCAGCAGGTCTGGCCTTAGTCCAGCACTGCGCTTCGCACCTTCTTAGGGGACAATGACAGGGTCACCCATGACCAGCCGGCTTGCACCCAGTGCAGTACATTTATTTTCAGACTGAGGAAACCTATCATAAAAAAACAAGCCTACACTCACCCATCTGTCATGGGGACACCTCGGCAACGTCCAGCCCTTCTAGCAGGGGTTTTCCCTCTTGGCTGCAATGTCATGTCAGTTTTTGGATCAAAATTAGGGACATTCTCAGCCAGTTCAGGCTGCCCCTTTATACCACAAACTTTTTTTTTTGTCTCCGGGGCCTCTTGAACCTGGTCTGAACCAGTCTGTGCAAAGCACCCCGGAGGTGGGACATCTCTGGAGTGGTTAACCCATCCCAGGATGGAAAGGAATTAGCCCCCACTCATTTTAGTTCTTGGGGGGAGCTCGGTTACCCTCCCCTATAGATGCAGAATACAATCCCTGGCTCACAAAGATACAGAGAACATTTACAGGTACAAAAGCTTATGAGTAATCTCATTGCACAGCTCCATATAATCATCTTTTCAAGTTTCCACGTTCCTAAGATCTTGCATCTCCCATGCAGTTATCTCAAAGGACGGGTAGCAGTTGCATTTACCAGCTCCAGTGAGGTTTAACCCAGGTTATTACAGTATTTAGCCTATAGCTGTGTAGATGGTGCTTAGTGGGACTTTCAGAAGCTGCTAGCTATGGGGAACTGCAGACAGCTAGTGATGGCCAAGTGAGTCCCCTCTGAGCAGGAGGGGTTCCCAGTGACTAGCATGTGGGACTGAGCTCTCTTTTCTCTCTCTCTCTCTCTCCTTTCTAGGACATCACAAGTGCCTGGAGCGAGTACATGGCTCCTTCTCACTCTGCCTCCTTCTTGTCGACTCTGGAAGGGGTTTGGACAGCAGGGGCCAAATTTGTACAGGTATTTAGTCATCTGAATGTGCAGCTAGATGCTCACTGGGACTTTCAAAAGCTGCTAGCTACAGAGAATGGCATGTGCAGCTCAACTAGTGATGCCAAGGGGGTCCCCTCCAGCACAGGAGGGGTCCCCAGTGTGGGGCACGTGGGACTGAACTCCCTTTTTTCTCTCTCCCTCTTCTAGGACATCAGAAGCACCTTGAGTGGGTAAGTGGCTGCTGCTCGCTCCCCCAAGAGGATGTTTCCATTTTGCAGGGTGTGACACAAAATATTTTTTTACTCTTGAATATTTTCCACACAACTGATTTTCAGTTAAAAACATTGGAATTTTGAATATCTGTTTTACTCCCACCCGTATCTTGTCTCCTTTTATTTCTTTTTTCTTTTTCGTAACCTAGTGCCATAAAACAAATGATGTCCAAGGTTGTGACTGGTTTGTTCATTTCTCAGTTTTTCTTTCCTTTTTCCCTTTGATGACACTTTTCAAAACTTCTCCATCTTGGGCAGTGCTACAGAGTGGCAGAGCTAGTGGAATCGGACAGGAATCTTTGGGGATTGTTGCTCAAATCCTGCAGTTTGCCTCCCTGTCTCACACTTTTCCCATCCTCCTTAGATACAGTAAGCGTAGGCTGGCTGTGTCTGGATCCAGAGTTGCATTCACTGGGGAGAGACGGAGAGCAGCAGGCACTGGCTGGGGTTTTCTGCTCAGTGTTCCCACCTGGTTCCCTAATTTTTAACTTTTAACCCCTCTCCTGTTCTTGTTCTCTTCTTCGTTGTCCCCAGTACTTGTCTTTGGGGAGAGACAGAGAATAAGACATAAGGGGCAGAGCTCAGCCCTGCGGGAGGGTTTGATAATGTCAGTGACTGAATCTGCCCCAGCTGGAGAGTGATTCAGGGAATCTCCTTCCTCCAGGATTTACCCAGCTCTGACTGGGGAGCAGCTCTGAGATCTCAGCATAGTGCAGGGAGATTCCCTCACCGACAGAGACGGGTCAGTGCCAGAGTGAAAGGATCAGCTGAGCCAGGCCTGAGACTCAGAATCTGTCCCCGCCTGAGCCCACCTCTCCTCTCTGGGGCATATGGGAACCCTGGTATCACAGGGGAGCCCCATCAGATTGTTGTGGAAACTATCGCCCGCTCATTGTTTAGTGGGTACATGCACATCCCCTTAAAATGTCTCCTCCTTGCATCTTGCTGCTTTCCATGCCGTACACCAGACAGTTCAGCTGGCTGAATTTCTTCATGCAGGAAATTAGTCCACCAAAAAGTGTCCTCCATCTTAAAATGGCCTCTCATTTTGGATTTCAAAACTCTCCAAACTTTGGAAGAGCTACAGAGTTTCATTTTTCTTGTAGCTTTTCCAAAGCTGAGGAAGATTTGAAAAACTAGATTGGCAAATGGAAAATAAAATAAAATAGGGGAGGAAAACACATGCCAAAAAACCTAGACATCATTCAGCAAATTGCATTCAGCATAGGCGCCAACTCCGTGGGCCCTGGAGCATCCCTGGGGGAAAATTAGTGGGTGCTCCCCATACCCCCAGCCCCACCTCCTCCTCCCTCCCTGAGCATGCCGTGTCCCTGCTCCTCCACCTACCTCCCAGCGTTTCCCACCCGGCCACCGCCAAACAGCTGTTTGGCAGAGTTAGCACGCTTGGGGTGGGGGGGAAGGAGCAGGAACATGGCGCACTCAGGGGAGGAGGTGGGGCCAGGGCAGGGACTTTGGGGAAGGGGTTGGAATGGGGGCAGGGAAGGGCTGGGAAGAGGCGGGACAGGGGCAGGGCAGGGGCGGGGCCTCATGGAAGGGGTGGAGTGGGGGCGGGGCGGGAGGCGGGGGGTGTCGAGCACCCACGGGAAAGAGGGGAAATCCACGCCTATGGCATTCAGTGGTATAAGGTTAAAAAAGGAGAGAGAAAGGAGCGAATGGGGGAACAAAACCCAGAACAAATAAAAAGAAAATTGTAATTTTGAAAGTCGCTTAGGTGCGTTTTTTTAAATTTTACCCACAAACACAATTAAAAAAAAAGTTTTTTAGAGATAGTTTTCTAGAGATGGTTTGGAGAACAACTGCTCACTAGGAAAGATCAGGGACTGCAACTGTATGAGGGGGTGGGGGATTCCTTGCTTCCAACCTTTCTCCTTTTGATCTCACAAGTGAGAGACAGGTGCAGGGTGTCTCCTCAAGCTTTGATGTATTTCGATTGAACAATCCAATGATGATGAATTTTGCGGGTCATTTTCTCTAGAGGCAGACAGAGGACGTTTGAGAATCCAGTGAATCTTTCTCCTGAATTTAAATGGGGCAGCTGGGATTTCTCTGAAAAGACCAGAATTCTGCACAACATTCTGAAGAACTTCAAAGGTAAAAAAATCTGGGGCTTTCCTAGGAAGTGAAGACAAGAGCTGCAGGTAAAGATTTGTTTGTGGCGATGAAAAGCGATCTGCCCCGATGGGTAGTTTACCATTTGTTAGTGTCTGATAATATTCTGTGCTGGTTACAGCAGGACACAGAGGGTTAAATCTTGGTTCTGTTGAAGTCAATGGCAAAACTTCTACTGATTATAATGGGACCAGGATTTTACCCAGAGACTTTAATATCAGCTGAGAGAGACTTGGGAGCAGTTTGCCTTCACCTGCTGGAACTGAAGATGTCATGGAAAATGTGCTGTCACTCTGAGTGAGTGGGTAGATGGAGGGAAGCTGTAGCATTTTGATTAGTAGACATTGTAGTATTTTTATAACACCTGGGGACCCCAGCCAAGATCAGGGCCCCGGTGTGTGTACACACAGCAAGAGACAATCCCTGCCCCAAAGAGCTTCCAGTCTCACTAGGCACAACAGACAAAGGGTGGCCGGTGGCAATGACCTGCCCAAGCTCAAAGAGCAGAGCTGGGAAAGAGGGATAACATACAAGCAGACTGACAGTGATGGGCTGCATATGTCCTGGGATTGCCACCAGGGTTTTCCTGTTTGTTTCTCTTCTCTCTCAAGTGAGGTTGTGTTGGGGGAGAATTAACTAAACGGAGAGATGAAGGGGGGATGCTGCAGGGGTCAGAGGAAAAGGAGAAGAGAGAGGGAAGTTGGGTAGCATGGGGAGCAGGTGTGGAGTCTGGCTGAAGTGAGGGGACTGTGAGGGAGGCAACAGGAGAAAGTTTCAGTGACCAGCCAGGCAGCGGAGGGGAAAGACTGTCCAGACTTGACACTGTAAAGAAAAAAGGTGTGCGAGGAGGAGGGGAACAATCAGATGCTGACGACACAACACCCCGGACAGCCTGGCGGTGGGGATTAAATGTGGCACCTCTGGAGCTGATAGAATGAGTTTCTGCAGCCTGAGCTCAGAGATTCAGCTTTCTTAGCTGCTGTTGTAGCAGGATCATCAACCTCTGTATGTGGCCCAGCCACCACTTGAAGGTGATAGGGAGCCATACTGTGTGGGTGGTACCATCAGCTAGCCTGCCCTGATCTCTGCACTGACAGAGCTGTCCAGCTATTTGATGTCAGAAGATAGGGGCTTGGTAATGTCTATAGAATTCGACAGAGTAGCTTCTTTGAATGTTAGTGAAGGGGTCTGGGCCACCACCCCTCCACCAATATGATCCTGTTTGTCAGTGTACTCAGCTGCTATGTATTGTCCAGATTCCTACCTTCTGAGCTCTCTTGGGCAAGGAACTGTTCACATGAAGCCTAATACAAAGGGCCCTAATTCCCTATTGGGGTCCTCAGGCCTGACCACATGAGAAGTAATAATTAATAAACAATTACTAATAAGGATAGCTCTGTCTGCATCTCCCCCAAAAGTTATATTAAATCACAAAACGATTGTCACCTACTGATCAAATCCTGAGATCTCCTCTCTCTCTCACCTTTTTCATCCTCTAGAGACTCTGGTGTCAGAATGGAGGCTGGACAAAGGTAATTCCTGGGGGCAATGGGGAGTGGGGACAGTTGCATGTGAATGTTATCCTGAACTGAGGATAAATAATAATGATTTGTGTCTCCCTGGATTTTCTGGTAGAAAAACAAGCGTAAAAATTAAATAAAGCAAAAAGTAGGAAACAATATCATGTGCACCAGACATTTTTCAGCTAGCTCTAATTAAAAACAAACACAAGATAATCAACCCAATTAGGAAATTCATATCATAGAATATCAGGGTTGGAAGGGACCTCAGGAGGTCATCTAGTCCAACCCCCTGCTCAAAGCAGGACTAATCCCCAGACAGATTTTTGCCCTAGATCCCTAAATGGCCCCCTCAAGGATTGAACTCACAACCCTGGGTTTAGCAGGCCAATGCTCAAACCACTGAGCTATCCCTCCTCCCCAATTAATCTAACACTTTTTGGCGAGATGCCCTCTTGAGAGTGGATGGTGGGAAGAGATTAAAATTCAACTGGCCAGATTCCTCTAGTCAAGATCTGAACCACAGGATCAAACTTCTGAACGTTGCCACTCTGTTTTAAAAGTGATTAAATGTTGAAATGGAAATGGCAGCGTGGAAGCCTGAGCTGAGTTGAACTGTGGCTCTGAGGAACCTTAGGAAATTTGCTAGGCTACTAGTAAAAATTCACAGCTCACCGACGTGACACAAGTGAACCCCCCAGCACAGACTCCCACATGGAGTGAGGTCCACAGGAGTGAAGGTCCCCTCCCCCCAAGCTTCTGCAGCTGCTGTGAACCTCATAAGACACTCCAGGTACTCGCAACCTTCCAATACATTCCATGGGGCCTGCCAGTCATGGCAGGTACTGAGGAGCTTGCTATGGTTCCCCAGGGGGTTATGTACTTTTCTAGGCACTGAGGATGAACGTCCTTACATATTCCTAGGGTTTCCTCCTGAGGCTCCTCAAGACCTGCTTCATCAGCTCAGGCAGTTTAGGCATCAGCATAGCTGTGGTCACCTGTTGGGCTGACAGGTCCTGGAGCTCCAAGCACTGACTCAGGACTGAGTCAGGAAAACACTGAAACCCATGCTTCAGTCCAGCCTTATTCAGGAAATGGCCTGCTTCATTTAAGCACCTGCTTAAGTTCTCTCCTGAACAGGGGTGCTTGACTTCTCTGATGGGCTCTAGCATGATGGGGCCCTGCATCTGTGGTCCTTCATTCCCCTTTGCCAAGCCAGACGTGGGGAAAGATGCTTGAGAGGGTCCAAGACTCAGTTCAGCATCACAATGGCAAACTTTTAGGTGCTTGGGGAAAAAAGCCCTGCAATTCCCAAAGCCTGGCTTGGGCACCGAGTGAATGGAGAGAGATGGGTGCCTAAGAATGCCATGCTCCAAAGCCAGGTGGGTAGGCTAGCCCCTGGGGGAGGCTGATGAGAGGGGGGGTGTCCTAAGCCCCACCCCCTCACAGAGATAAGCGAAGTCCAGGCTGCAGGGAGGCCCCATCTCTGCTTGTGATTCTCAGGCCGGGAACCTCCTTGGAGTTAGGCGCCATATCCTCTTTTAGCAAGAAGCCGAGCAGGCGCCTAAAGTCACTCGCCTACGTTTTTCAGAGTAAAAGTTCCCTAGTCACCATGTTTCCATCTCTATGTGTGCACACTGCTGTCCCCCTATGGGCCTCCAGCTGCCCGTCTCCTCCCTCAGCCCCAGAGCTATTCTCAGAGAGAGGTAAAAGAGGCATTCCGCTGCCTAACTCACATGCAGGGCCTGATCCAATAGGTGTGCGCAGAGGCTACCTTCTGGAGCTGACACCATTCCAAATCTGGCTGGTGGTGGTATCAGCAGCAGCTGCTTTATATCTTTTAGCCCAGTGGCTGGTGCACTCGCCTGGGAGCTGGGAAACCCCAGTTCAAGTCCACCTTTCTATTGGACGGGGAGAAAGGAGTTGAACAGGGTCTCTCACAGGAGCAGCAGAAACTAGGCAGCTATGGATCTTTTACTCTGAAAAAAGTAGGTGCTGCATGACTTTAGGTGTCTACAGCATTTGACAGGGAATTTGGGGCAGTGCCGTGGAATCAAAATTGAGACTTAGGTGCCTAATTCCTTTTGAGCATCGAGCCCCACATCACTATTCCAGGGACTCCCAAGACTTTGCGTGGGGGCGAACGCCACAAAGGGTCAGGGTGCACTGTGCGCTGTCAGGCAGGAAGTGATGGGTGCAGGAGGAAAAGATTCGGAGTCTCAGGCCTGGCGTGGCCAATCCTTTTGCTGTCACTGACCCATCCTTGCAGTGACTGTCCCCTGCACTTTGATGAGATCTCAGAGCTGCCTCTATTCAGAGCTGAGTAAATCCTAGAGGAAGGAGATTCCCTGAGTCACTCTCCAGCTGGGGCAGATTCTGTCACTGGCACGATCAACCCCTCCCCCACGGCTGAGCTCTGCCTCTGATACTCTGATTTTCTCTCTCATTCTCTCTCCAGAAAATGTGACGCTGGATCCAGACACAGGAAATCCCTGGCTCATTGTGTCTGAGGATCAGAAAGGCATGAGATGGCAGAATCCATACAACAATTTCAGAGTAGAAGATTTATCGTTTCTCCCTGTCCTGGGCTGTGAGGCATTCACCTCGGGCAGACATTACTGGGAGGTGGAGTTGAAGGAGGGGGGGAACGTGCGTCTAGGGGTCGCCAGAGAGTCTGTGAAGAGAATGGGAAAGGTCAGCTTGAAGCCCAAAGCGGGGGTCTGGGCTATAGAGCAGTTGGGGCCCTATTACCAAGCTTTCACCTCCCCTATTACCAACTTGTCTCTGAGTCGGAGCCCCAGAAAGATCGGGGTCTATCTGGACTATGAAGGGGGGCAGGTGACATTTTATGATGCTGATACCAAGGCCCTGATCTTCGCGTTCCCACCAACCTCTTTCACTGGGCAAAGAATTCGCCCTTTCTTCTTTCTTTTTGGTGTAAACTCCCAGCTCAGACTGTGTCCCTGAGACGTCCAGAGTTTGGGGGAGGATATCAGAAAACCCCATCAGCACCTATGAAACGAGCTTCTCTAATCTCTGCCCTCTCTGATCCTGAACGAGTCCCATGTTCCTGCAGAGACATCGAAACTGCAGACAGGCCAGGAAAGACCATGCCAGTGTAACCCACTGATCAGTACATGTCACATGCCCCCCTCTTGGTCTGAGCTGCAGAGGATGTGACTCTGTTACAGTGGCTGGCTGTAGAGGCTGGCTGCTTAGCTCACGCTGCAGTGACTCAGGTGTCTGGATTTAGAGAGTCCTGGTTCAATGCCCAGTGTGCTGGCCAAGATGGGGCTATTATACCGATATTGCAGCAGGCCTCTCCTGTCTGTCTGTGGTGTTCAGTGGGACCATGGCAGACTTCCAGAGAGTGAGGGGGAAGCTGCTTGCAAAGCTGTAGGGGAATCCCCAGGGCTCAGGCACCTCATCAAAAGGCCTGTCTTGCTCTGGGGAAGAAACCAACTCTCACTTTCCCCGGTAATTGTTGAACCCATTGTAACATGGGCCAGGTCCTCAAAGGTACATAGGTGCCTACCTACCATTGATTGCAGTGGGAGTTAGGTGCCTAAATACCTTTGAGGATCTGGGGCCTGGTCTCTGATTCTGGAGACTAAAATACTCTGCTTCACAAACAGACCGAAACCAGCCCCCAGAATTGGGGCTTGATTTATTTTAGCTCCCATTAGGCACCTAAATAAGAGGCCAGATTTTCAAAAGAGTTTAGCCAGAAGTTTCCACCTCCCAGTTGGTCTCATTGAGAATTAACTGGTTGCTTCATTAGGTGCTTAAATGGGAGAAGAGCTGTTTGGAAAAGCCAGCTCCAGTTGTGGTGACTGAGGCCTGTAAAATCTGGCCTGCTGTGACTTGTATCTAGAGCTGACTGAAACATGTCAAATGAAAATGTTCTGCAATGGTCAGGCCTCCCCTCTGCCATGCTGGTGTTCAGTCTGTTCCAGGGGACATGCCGCACACTGCGTTCATGCAGACCTTACCATTCTGCCTTCTTGTTTCATTGGGGTCTCAAATAAAGTCATTTTGACTGAAAATACAGGGTTGCTTCTTACGTATGGAAAAATCTAAAACCCACGAGGAGGGGTTTGTAAAACAACACTGAAGACTCAAAGAAAATCTAGAGCTTTTCATGTTGTGACTGTTCAGCGCAGAGCTCACCGGCCTAGGAGGTGCCTAGCAATGGGAGGGACTGGGATTCTTCTCGCAAGGCTCACACAAACTGGGAGGGTGAGGGAAACAATGCAGCTTACATGATGATCTGCTCAGCAGAAATGGAGGCAAGAATTTCCATCCTGCTTTGAACCAGGCTGAGATCCCAGCACATTCCACAGGGGCTCCTGAGTAGACACCACGTGGACTTTCAGCCATTGCCCACAAGAAGACCCTCTATGCCCCGCTAGTGATTCAACCTTCCCAATCCAGTTTTGAAATGATGCATACTGAAAGTTCACATGCGCTTCTTTCTTTGACAACATTCAGGGGAAGACAAAGATCCAGATCTCATATCACAATCACAGTTCTGAGCAACTCTCACACTGATCTCCTCATATCACAAGCACAGCTCTGAGAACCTCTCACACTCATCCCCAGGTCTCCTCATATCAGAGGTACAGCTCAGAGAACATCTCACACTAATCCCCAGATCTCATATCACAGTCACAGCTCTGAGAAACTCCCCACAGTAATCCCCAGATCTATATCACTGTCACACCTTTCAGAAACTTCTCACACTGATCTCCATATCTCCTCATTTCATAATCTCAGCTCTGAGAATCTCTCACACTAAACCCAGATCTCCCCGTACCACAGCAGAACTCATTATGCTATTCCTGAGATCTCCTCATATCACAGTTACATAGGGTTACCATATTGCAGTCCTGGAAAAAGAGGACACTCCAAGGGGCCCCGACTCCGCCCCAACTCCACCCCCGGCCCTGCCCCAACTCCGCCCCTTCCCCGCCCCAACTCCGCCCCTTCTCCAAAGTCCCTGCCCTGACTCTGCCCCCTCCCCTGAACGCTCCGCCCCCTACTCTTCCCCCTCCCCTGCTTCCCGCGAATCAAATGTTCAGAGAACGGAGTGGTCTCTAGTAGTCAAAGACCCTTCTTCCCCGTCCCCTCCAGTCTATGTCTATCCTATTGCTGTCTAACCCGCCCCAGCTCCTCATCTGATTTCAACTGCCCCCCACTACCGCTCTGGATTCCTTGTCCCAGTTTCCTGGTCCTGTCTCACTCTCCTCTCTCCCCGCCCCCATCCCTCAGATGGGATGTTCGCTCCAGATTGGCAAAATTATAAGGCTTCCCAACATTTCAACACTTCCCATTCTAAATTTTCGGTTGCTTAACTATAGGCTAGTTCTGCCTACAACAAAGCATATTCAGAACCTCTGATTAAAGGGATTATAAGTGTAGCAACCTCCATCATAACTAGTCACCAAAGATTGAACCTGAGCCATCCAGACTTAAAAGCATGAGCTTCTACTACTTGAGTTCAAGCTATAACTCCCTTAGCTGGTAGCTATAGAGTTATCCTCTAAAAATCCACCACAGGAGGGCACAAAACACATGTTGGACAGTGAATTACAAAAGTGCCAAATATTATTATTAGACCTGCAATACTTTTCACAATGAACATCAACGGGGGATAAACTGGGAGTTTAAGAATATTTGGAAAACAATTTTAGAATAACATTCAGTGCTGTGGTTTAAAAGAAAAAAAACCTGTTAAAACTCATAACTTAGCAGCATTCAGTGTTTGAAAAAAAACAACTTCTAGGAGGGATACAAGTTAAGAATGTTGAAACAGGAAGATGTTATGCTTAGTTACCACTTGGGCAAGGCGGCGTGCTATGTAATACTTGCAAGATTTCACTGTAATGTTTTACAATATATAGCAGCGCAATGCTGATTCCATTGATATTGTTGAGCAATTCATGCTGATTTTATTTCAGCCCACATCTTAATAGTTTTGAATACAAGATCACAATTTTCAGCTCAGTTGGTCTGAACATGCAGAGCTTTAAAATTGCTATACTCTAAACTGTATATTAACTACAATTTTATAAACCTGCATGTCAGAGAACTGTGTACCACTACTACTAGACAGTGGCACAAGGCAATTCAGTGTGAATCACAGAAATGTAGGACTGGAAGGGACATCAACAGGTCATCTAGTCAAACCCCTGCACTGAGGCAGGACTGAGTAATAACAACTAGACCATCCTTGACAGGTGTTTGTCTAACCTCTTAAAAAACTCCAATGACTGCTATTCCATAACCTCTCTAGGTAATTTGTCCAGTGCTTAACTACCTTTACAGTTAGGAAGTTTTTCCTAATGTCTAACCTAAATCTCCCTTGCTACAATTTAAGCCTGTTGCTTCTTTTTCCTGCATGTCCTGAGTGGGACGGGGGTGAGTCCAGGCAGTGGGATTGGGGGGAGGGAGGTCGAGGAAGTCGGTGGGTGTGTGGGGATGGACCAGGGGAAGCAGGGTGGAGGAACTGAGGGGGACAGGACTGGGAGAGTCGGGGAGCTGAGGGGGATGGGACAGGAGTGGGATGGGGGGAGTAGGGTAGGGGCTGAGGGGAGCATGAATGGGACAGTGTAGAGAGCTGTGTAGAGTGGGGCGGGGCGGGGGAGACAATGGGGCTGGGCTGGGGAGGGTCGGGGAGTTGGGGAGAGGGACAGGGTCTGGAGGGGATGAGAGAGGGGAGCAGGACTGGAATGGGGGGAAGTTGAGGGGGTGGGACAGCAGAGGGAGTGATGGGGGTGGGATGACGGGGGAGGCTGAAGAAGAGATTTGGGGTAGGGCAGGGACTGAGGGCGTAGGTTTGGGGTGGGAGGTACAGAGGGAACTGCGGGGGAGGCTGAGGGAACAGGGTCAGGGTGGGGGCTGAGGGCAGTGGGTCGGGTCTACACTGGCACCTCTCAGCATTGCTGTGCCGGGCGGCAGACCTGCGCCAGCGCTACCCTGGCAATGGAAGAGTCCTCAGTGGAAATGCAGACTTCATGACACAGACCCTCCTCGTCACTTCAAACCTGATGCTGCTCTGGTCAGTCGCTAGGCTCTTGTCACTTTCAAACCCATGCAGGGTATCTGGCAATTTTTCAGTTCTCAGGTTAAGAAAAGCCTCTGCATTTTGTGAGGGCTTCAGCATTCACATTCCTACTTCACAAACTGTCTGCCTGACACATTGCTCCCAGGGCATTCATCTTTATTCATTATCGGCAGGTCCATCAGACTAACGAGCAACACAGGGGGAGGCAACACAATGGTGTCAAGGATTTTTAATTTTTCAAACCACTTTGGCCTCAACAGGGATAACAGCAAATCTGGACAGAGCAGATGGGTGTCAGGATGGGTTTGGGTATTTATTTATTTATTTCTTTAAGTGAAAATGTTTGGGTCTGAGCAAAGGCTGCAAACTTCCCTTTGGAAACCTCTGCTGATCTTTTGCCCCAGGGGCTAACGACAGCCTGGAATCTGGGACAGATTTCCACATCCATGCAGGGTGAGATGATCGGGGGGGGGGGGGG